AAACTGAACCCTTTATTTTGTACACTAGGTAGATTGTTCTAGTTCTGCATACCATGCCTCTTCTAAATATCTTCTAGGACACATAACACAGTGGATAAAAGTGTTAGTTGAATCCATTGACTTGAGTTAAAGGGATATAGCTGATACTGAAACATCCAGAAGAGGCATAGCACAAGGAACTAGAACAATCTATCCCGGTGAACAAAATAAAGGGTTCACTTTGTAATTCCAATCAGCTGAAGTAGGCCGGAGAATACAATGGCCAAAATGTTGTAGATATGGTAATGAAGATGAGGACAACAGTTCAAACAAAGTAAATAGTATTTATTTCATCTTAATTGCAGTTACTTTTCACTGCAACTACTCAGGTCATCATTCTAAGCTCTTAAACTCCCAGCTATGGGTTAAATAGGCTTGTTAGAGTCGGTCAGTTTGGCAATTTATGTTTTGGTATTGGTTTCCTTTTTTTTTTTTCCTTGATAACGTGGGTTTTGATTTGGTTTTTAATTTATTATTTTTGATTTCTAAGGAAACCATTTATTTTCTTGTGTAATGATAGCATTTCTAGTTGATGTCTGATTTCATTTGAGATTGATAAATTTGCAACTTAGTCCATTCAACTCAAAATTTATTGTGTATTTCTGGTCTAATCTTTAAAATATTCATATGGCTGGAAAATAAATAAAATAATTTTTCTAAATATGAAATTTGTATGTGCTTTTATTCATTGAATTTTTACAGCTAGTTAAAACTGTATTTTGCTTTTTACAACCGAAAATGTAAAATTTTTTTTTTTTTTTTTGAGACTAAATTTACACATTACTCTGTTTTTCAAAATCAAAGTAATCAATCTTTATCAATATTCTTGAAATTGTACACTCAAGTAGAAGACAACTTAAACTACAAATTGGAAGATGTTCATTTCTTCTCTGATAGTAATAAATGTGTCGTAAAAGAACTTTCAAATACAGACACTTGTTTTTGATTAAAGTTTATTTATTAAACTTTTGAATAAATTGTCACCTATAAATAGCTACCATATTTATTAAAAAATTGGTAAAATACAAAAGTAATCATCGCATAAACTATCTATATTTGTGTCTTTGGACAACACATTTGAGAGAGAAATTAGTTTATGATGTGGCTTTTAAAAAGCCAAAGAATGAAACCCCTCATGTTTAGTTTAAAATAACTAAGAATACTGTACGGCAATTCTTTCTTAAAAATAATTCCAAGCTTTTAATTTCATTTTTAGAAACTGTTTATTTCTAAAATTGAGAGTGTCACCTGTTCTTTTTTACTTTTTAGATACACATTTTAAAGCTATTTTAATCATTTTTAATATAATCTTAATTTTTTAAGTGTATTCACTATATTTGTAAAAATAAAATGAATTAATTTTCCTTGTTTAGAAGAATTTTATAGACACAAAACTCACCGAACGCTAGTGGCGAAAAAAAAAAAATACTTTGGTTTTAAAAAAAAATGACTTGCAGTTTTGAAAATATACACATTTTAAAACAGATTAAAACTTTATTTTTTTAATATCTAATTTTAGGTGTATTTTCTAGATAGAAACAATTTTATTTGTAGAAAACAAACAATTTTACTACACTAGAGACTTGCATTGCATATCTGGAAATATACACATTTTAAAATTGAAATTAAGAACTATTTTAATTATTCTTAATATCTAATTTAGGTGCATTCCCGAGATAAAAAGTAAATTTACTTATAACAAAAAAATTCATTCATTTTTCTTGGTTACAACAAGCTTATTTCGTGATTGGTGTACACAGACACTGGCTTAGAAAAGAATTATTGCCCTTACAAAAAAATCCAACTTCATAAAATTTAACATTAAGATGAAACTGGCAACTATTTTTTTGACAAAATTTTTTTTTTTTTTAAACTGAAACAAATAGATTTCAGACATGTCGTATTACCTTTTTTTTTCATTTCTTATGTAAACAAATAGATTTCACATTTATTTCCTAAAACTAGTCAATTAAATGTTTTTAACATATTTTTGTTCAATTTTTTTCTCTTACAATGGTATAAACATTGATAAAATTTAATTTTATTAACATCTTAAAGTCTTTTTCAATATGGTCACTCAGTAGTGATAGCACTTAAAAAAACAAACGATTTCGGTTTTGTAAAAGATTTCAATGCAGTTTCAGTGTGAAGATGAAACCAAAAAAAGTCGGTTCTTTTGTTAAACTGCCCATCTCTAAGGCTTGTATCTGGAAAAATTGTTATTTTCAAAAAATGTTAATGTAATATTCACTTGCAGAAAAAAAAAATTATTCTGACAATTTAAAATATGTTTCTTCCTGCAAATGGTTGATAAGCTGTAAGAAATCAATCAATCAAAATCAATATTCTTTAAAAACGGTGATGGATAAATCATCTTTTGTCATTGTCGGCACCCACTCGTATTCAAGTATCAGGATTGTCATTTTTTCTCCTTATTCCCTTTCTCTCCTCTGGTAGTGGAGATGGCTGTGTCAGCCTCCTCTTCATGTTGATAGTTGGACATGAATATCTTGGTCCTCTCTTGGATGGCCCTACATCAGGAAGGCCGATTTGCAGCAACTGTTTTCTAGGTATCAGGGTCTATATTAGCATGTAATAGGATTATTTTCAACTGAACCTTGAAGCATTGTTTTGTTCCCTGCATAGCCTCTTGCTGCTGGCAAGTTTTTTCATATGAGATATGGATATGGGATGAAATGGGAGTCAAGTGGGATGCATTCTGGAAAAGCAGATCAAATCTAAAACCATATAGATTTATTATCTACTTTGAATGCCTTGTACTACCAGATTGAATGTTTGCTTTACATACACAGGTAGTAATAATAGCCTAAAGAGAAATAGGCTCTGTCAAGTTATCTGGCCCTAGACATCCTTTACTGCTACAACTGCACTACATATGGTATCCTAATAACCCAGGTGGTTATGGGACTTGTAATCAGGAGTAGTACTAATAATACATTATTTTGAATTATTATTAGATGAATTATTGTTAATTTTTGACACATTTTTATCAATTTAACTTCCTGTTAGGGGACCTTACCCATAATAACATAATGGACTATTCCATACGTAATAAATACTGCACATCAAGAGGAAGCAGGGGGTTCAGTCTGAAGTCTGGAGTGAAGTCCGTCAGGAGTCTGTCAGTCAGTCAAAGTGAGTCAGTCAGTCGAGGCAGAGGCAGTCCGAAACAGAGTCGCGTTCAGACAATTACTACTAAACTTGATTGTTCATACTAACACTTCTACTTCTCTGTATATATTCCTGTTTGTAATATATCTGTGTTATTCCATATCTGTGTTCGAGTTCTTCTTTATTGGTTCTACCTTGGACTATCACCGTGGTACAAGGAACCGGACCATAACACTTCCTTTATTTAATCCAGTAGTATTAGTAATATTATATTGAATTTTTATTAGAAGCAAAGTTAACTATTATTAATTCATATTATCCTATTTTTGAGTTTGTATGTTGCCAAATGTTTTATCTTCCTTCTGTACTATATTCCCCTCAGGCAATCTGAGTAGCAGTAATAAAAAGCAACTATAATTTTAATGAAAGAAATACTAATACCAAAAAAGGATAATAATTGACAATGCTTATTCTAGTGAAATGCTAGTAAAAAATGTATTATGATTGACAATATCTCGTAAAGAAATACTAGTAAAAATGTATCATAATTGATAATGTCTCATCTAATAAGGAAATACTAGTAAAATGTATCATAATTGATAATGTTTCATCTAATAAAGAAAAACTAGTAAAAATGTATCATAATTGATAATGTCTCATCTAATAAGGAAATACTTGTAAAATGTATCATAATTGATAATGTCTCATCTAATAAGGAAATACTTGTAAAATGTATCATTAATGTCTCATCTAATAAGGAAATACTTGTAAAATGTATCATAATTGATAATGTCTCATCTAATAAGGAAATACTAGTAAAATGTATCATAATTGATAATGTCTCATCTAATAAGGAAATACTAGTAAAATGTATCATAATTGATAATGTCTCATCTAATAAGGAAATACTTGTAAAATGTATCATAATTGATAATGTCTCATCTAATAAAGAAAAACTAGTAAAAATGTATCATAATTGATAATGTCTCATCTAATAAGGAAATACTAGTAAAATGTATCATAATTGATAATGTCTCATCTAATAAGGAAATACTAGTAAAATGTATCATAATTGATAATGTCTCATCTAATAAGGAAATACTAGTAAAAATGCATCATAATTGATAATGTCTCATCTAATAAAGAAATACTAGTAAAAATGTATCATAATTGATAATGTCTCATCTAATAAAGAAATACTAGTAAAAATGCATCATAATTGATAATGTCTCATCTAATAAAGAAATACTAGTAAAAATGCATCATAATTGATAATGTCTCATCTAATAAAGAAATACTAGTAAAAATGCATCATAATTGATAATGTCTCATCTAATAAAGAAATACTAGTAAAAATGTATCATAATTGATAATGTCTCATCTAATAAAGAAATACTAGTAAAAATGTATCATAATTGATAATGTCTCATCTAATAAAGAAATACTTGTAAAAATGCATCATAATTGATAATGCTTCATCTAATAAAGAAATACTGGTAAAAATGCATTATAATTGATAATGTCTTATCTAATAAAGAAATACTAGTAAAAATGCATCATAATTGATAATACCTCATCTAATAAGGAAAGGTTAGTAGAATGCTTCATAATTGCCAATGCTCTGTATAATAATAGACATAAAAGTAAAAAAGAACATTTTTTTGTTTATGAACTTTCATATCTTTACACTGTACAGAATACAATTTTATTCATTAAAATATTTTTTCTGTTTAATTTTCATACCATTTAATATCAGTTTTTTGAAAAAATAATTGTATATAAAATGTGGAAATTGTTTGTGTTTTATTTTTAAATATTTTTGTTTGCAGCTTTTGCAACAATTGATGCACATGAAAAAGGAATATGCCAAAAAATGCAAAAGACTTCAGGTAAGGGAACCAAAAATCTTAAAATTTATATCATTTTGTTGTCTGAAATTCTGAGATTAAATCTTTTGCTCTATAAGTTAAAAACAATAGATTGTCTTCATTATTGTTGTTTTAATCAGTTTATTTCAGCCACTATTCTACAGCCTTTTCTAAGAAGATTTCACATGAGGTATTATCATTATTCCACCTGTCAGTTATGTGCCATGTATGTTACACACTTAGGCGATCATGTACCGAAAGATACATGACTGACGAGGCATTTTTTTTCCTACAGTAGGTTGCCATTTCTTTCTACAGTAGACAAGTTGCCATCGAAGGCTATAGAACCCGGTCTGTCCTGCTATTTACCTGTAGCTGGGGGGAGGAGAAGAGGATTCATACCTTTCCTAAGTGTATTAGCACGTAAGTGAATGTAATGGATTTGACAGGAATTCAAACCCTGCTCTCCAATTCCTCAATCCGATCAATTACTCCACCAATTATCCTGATTAATACCATCATTTTTGTTGTGATGATTATGACATTTCACTTGCTGAATTCTCTGTCCTTCCTTATCTATATAATAAAAAAATTCTAATCACGTCCTGGATATGACAAAAAAACTACATCCATGTGCCAAGTAAGACGATAAACTATGTCCAACAGCAAGGCCTTTGATCAGGAGGCTTTGAGGAGCATAGAACCACCTCTTAATTGCTGGTGTTCCCAGGCCCACCCTGACCCGGGATGGTAGCACCTGTTACGGTCCCAGCTATGGGCAAATAGTTAACCCCCAAACTGGGGTTAAAACACAAAGTGTAAAAATAGGTTTTAATACCAGAAATACTTTGTAAAAAAATAAAAAAAATATTACCAGCAATACATTTTTGAAAAAAAAAAATATTACCAGCAATAAAACTTGTTGGTATTAAATAACCCATTGAGGTTGATATTCCATAAAACAAACCAAACCAAAACTCTAATCTTGTATGTATGTTCCTGAGAAAGAGCTTAAATGATGCATAATACCCAAACCAATTTAAGGGCACATTGTTTTTTTAATTCCTGCTCAGTGTAATGCCAAATTTCATTAAAATTCATTAAGTGTTTCTTGAGTTAGTGCTGTTTTTATGTTTTTATAGCATTTTTAATAAGAAATTCAGTATTTGCTTTCAATACAGGTTCTTATATCAATCTGCTTATATAAACAAACACTTGCATATTCCAAATATTATGTGTGTGAAAAATAATAAACATGCATAATACATTATAACAACCTTTTTAAATAAATTTAAGTATACATAACACAACATATATTTATACAATTCACTACACTACATTAGAACTTTTTTTTATAAACAAATATTGTGGATGTGTCATTGTAAAATGCAATCTGTATGGATGGCAAATTGTGTCATGACTTGGTGGTACATAAATAGATGCACACTGGTTTGCCATCATTACATATTTTGAAATGTGAGGAAGAAACAAGTATTTAATAAAATATATAATTATTATTTTAAAAAATGACAGAAAAAAAATGAAACTAAATGCACAAAAAGGAGGCATCTATACTTTATTTCAATAAATATAAATTTCCCTAAGCAGATGGTTTGTTTTTTTTTGCATGACCTTCACCTTTGAAAATTGTAACTACACTTTGTTCTTAGATAGAAAAGCATAATTTTCATATCACCAACTAAACATAATGATAGTATAGATTTTTGCTCAGAAAGCATAACTGATATCATCTCAGACTTGCTGAGGATCAAGCAGATACTACACTTTGATCTTAGGTAGAAAAGCTTAACATTTACACATACAATCATATTAATAGTATACATTTCAGATCACCAATCTTTCAACAGTATGTTAAATTTGTAGGTGGTGTTAAACCTCTTTGTATATTTTCTCGTATTTCCTGAAGATGTTTGTACTTTCTTATGATTATATGTAAAACCATGACTGCCTGAATAAATACTTTTACTGCATTTTTGTATATTTATTGATGCACAATACAAATTTTGTATAAACTCTGTTTCCTTACTGTTTTTTGTGAAATTCTTTCAGCTTCCTGTGAGATATTTGAGACTTATTAAAATCCTTGCCCTATATGAGTGAAGACGTTGTGTCATAGTGAAAATGATATATAAACCAAACAGAAAGCTATTTACCACTTGGCATTGGTATTTCTATTGTAATTTTAATGTTGCTCCTGTTGCTATGAACTTGCCATTCTCACATGTGACATCAATTTTCAATCTCAAATATGTGCTGAACTCATACAGTACTTGCCAAAAGTATGTAGGTCACACATCTGTCCGAGACAGATTTCTGTTTGGTAAAGGTTGAATGTGTGAATACGTGTGTGTGTGTGTGGGGGGGTATTCACATCAAACGTCAATCCACCATCAATAAAATTTGTTTTAATCTCCAGCAATATGTATAAAATGCCTTTGTATGTAAGGTCATTTTAGCTACAAGGCAAACATTTTTTTATTTTTATTTTTATTAATGTTTACCCAATACAAGGCCCAAGAGCCACTCAAGGTAGAGGGTTACTGTGTGGAGTTATATTAGCATAGGAAAGAACAAGTGTTAGGAGTATAGTACTGAAACAAACTTTAGAAGAAACCAAAAACCCAATCCTAAGCAGGAAACAAAGGATAAACCTCTACTCCTGTCCAAAAAAACCGTGGAGGAGTGTGAACCAAATGATAGGAAAACCTATCTCCATTCATTGTAACATGTGAATCCAAATTCATTTCAAACTTTGGACTATTAACAATAGGCTTATGGCTAAATCACGTTGAAACACTAGTTCCTGCATGATCACCAAAGTTAAGCAATATTGAGACTAGCCAGTACTTAGATGGGTGACCATTTGGGAATACTTGGTGCTGTAAGCTTTGATGTGCAGGTGGTGTAATGGATAATGACTTGGAATTGTTAATCAGAGAGCCAAGTTCCAAGTCCAGTTGGGTTTGTTATATTTAGTTACACACAAATACCCTTGGGAAAGGTATGAATACACCTCTTCTCCCTCATCTATGGGTTAATTAGTAAGACTTGTATCATTAAAATCATTATTATCCCAAAAAAAAAAAATTTACATTTTGGCATTAAATAACCCATTGTGGTTGATTTGCTGCTAAACAAAAAAAAAACAACCATTAACAACATAAATGCTCCACTGGCTATCTCTTGACTTTTACCTTCTTTCCTTGAAATAAACAATCAATTTAAATTGAAAGTACATGGAACATTCTACACAATTAGGCCAAGTACCTTTACAAGTTTCCACTTGACATTAAACTCCAGGAAAAAGTCACCCAAAGGCTTAACAAACATTCTTTCTTTGTTCTTATTTCATAAAATGTGTTTAAATAAAGGGTTGCTCCTAGATAGAACAAATTTAAAATATTAGAGACACCCACTAAAGTAATACCTCCTGTTTTATTATGCTGATCATTGATGTCATAGGCATGTTGGTGACGTGCCCGTAGATATTGCTCCTTCAGGCCAATAACCCATAAAGTGGCAATAAGGTAAAGTAGTGTCTGACGTAAAATTGAATATGAAGCAGGTGTGTCATTGAATTTTTTCATGTAAAAAAAAAAAAAAAACACTCAAAAAACCTGTGCATACTGACTTTTATTGATACTTGCTGAATGCTTACAGTAACCAAACAGAATATGTGAGCACAGTTAATGTTGATATTAGTCGTTTCCCTACAAGGAATCATTTGGCATTCATTGACTGAGCAGCCAGTACAGTTTTCTGTTGAAATTTATAGTCTTTCTCTTAAAACAATTTTTTTAGGAAAACAGGTTTCTCAAATCCAGTAGCTTTTATTGCTCTTTCCAGTATTGATGGGGGAGGCGGTCCTTTGAACCTTTTGTTTGAATTAGTGGGGAACATCAATATTTTGATTATGTTATTATTTTCTCTTCAAGTTACATGTGCTACCCATTTTAATTGTTGCTGTTGTTGGTAGTCCTCAAGTGACGTGGTTTCTGTTATTTGGTACAGTTCTTTGTTCATGATTCTGCAGTGTCAGTCCACATGAATAATGTGGGTCGGTGAAATAGTTGGTTGCTTCTATTGGTTCAGATATTTAGTAGCACAGAATACAGGCTCTCGTTTACGTTAGGATACAAAATACAGAGCAGGTATGATAGGTCAAGAAAGTGTGTGTTTAAAAGCATTAATTCGAGCTTTGCTTAACCAGAAGTTCTCTGTGTCTGAACAGTTATAGCACGCCAGGCTTAATGGGGGTTCCTCATAGGATGCCAGTTCAATTCCTGCTCGAGAACGCAAAATAACGTATAAACAGAAAATACATACATACATACACACACACATGCACATATATATTTTCTGTTTATACGTTATTTTTATAGATGTATTTAAGTAAATGCTCTGTATATAATAAACACTATTAACTACATTTACTGACCTGAATGTCTGAGAAAATTCATAGAAAATATATGTTCTCTGATAGCTAAATGGTATAGCATATCAGGCTGTATGATGGTTCCAAAGGACACATATTTTCTATGAAATTTCTTGGACATTCAAGATGGTAAATGTAGTTAATACTGTTCATTATAAACAGAGCATTTACTTAAATATTTGTATGTATAAACAGAAAATATATTAAAATAATTGTCGGACTTAAATAACCAACGCCATATGCACATGTAAACAAGGGCACAGATGCACAAACAAAAAGAGAAAAAAATGAACTTAATACCAATAATAAGAGCTCCTAGCTAGGGCATAAATTAATTACATGAAACTTAGCATAATAATAATGAAAAATGAGAAAAACAGCAGTCAATTGCTGAAAACCTCCTGAAGAGTGGACTGAAGAATTACGTAAAGGTTGATCTACGAAACTCTAGAGCTGAGATGTTGAATATAACATCAATTAACTAAGTGACAAATTTTATTTTTATCAATTCTCTCTCTCTCTCTCTCTCTCTCTCTCTCTCTCTCTCTCTCTCTCTCTATATATATATATATATATATATATATATATATATATATCTATATATATATATATCTTTGGTTTCTTTACTTTTTTATGTTGCCTGTGTGGGTTGATATATTTATGCTTGCTTCTGTATGTGTATATATGCTTATATGGATATATATGTATATGTGTGTATACGTTTGTCTGTAGGTAGGCTTTTCTGTGTTTCTGTCTGAATGTGTGTACACATATGTCTGTATGTATTTTTTTTTTTCTTTCACCTACTGTTATATTTTTGTGCATGTGCACTAGTGCATATACAGGTATATATGAAATATATTTTTATATATATTTGTGTGTTTGGAGTTTTCGTTTTTATATATTAGATGGTGTTATTTTTATGGGTATATATCTATTTTTCTGTCCCTGTCTATCAGTTTTAATGTCCGTTCTTTCCCTAATGTTTGTTTTTCTGTTCTGCCCATGTTGAATTTTATCTATTCTACCATTTTTATCTATGTATATTTGCCCATATAAGTTATATTTTAATAAGTGGTTAGAATTCGTTTAATAACACTTTCCAACTTGAATATTTCTTGGTAGGTGTATCGGCCTGTCTTTGTCAATGTATGTATGTATGTATGTGTGTGTATGTATGTGTCTTTGTCGGTGTCTGTGTGTATGGTCTCTTGTGTATACATTTCATTGTGTATGTATCTTGTGTTTTTTTTTTTTTTTTAAAGGGTTGTGGCGATATTTCCTGTCTCGTCGCTTTTTTGTGTGTGTATATATATCTAAATACGTGTTTATGTATCATAATCTGATTGTGTATGTATTGTCTTTTGCAAGGTTTCATCCACCCCTGCCTCTGTTTATGCTTCAAATGTATCTACATTGTCATGAAGTTCAGAGCAACATTTGATCTTAACGTTTATTCCAACTTAATTTCAATAGAAACAAAATAACATATGTATTATTTTTTCTTTTTTCCTCAGTAATTTTATAATTTTAAACTTAATATAGATTAAATTTAAATTTTAAAATGGGTAAGTTTTAATTTTAAATTTTATTGTATAAGTTAATATTTATTAGTTAGAATAAATTCTATTTTAGTCTAACCCCAACATTAAAGCATTAAATAATTATTATAACCTTAGTCCATTGTCAAGTTTTTTGAATTCTCATATACTTGTATTTTGATTGGTCATTGCAGCTTATGTAACAGCGTTTCCCCTAGTGAGGGATGTTTGATTGATTTGAACCTTTTAAAACCCTTTATTCTATATTCAACACCATCACTTGATAAGACACCAGAAGTGTTGAAACAAAATGGCTATTTTTGTAGTGATTTTATAACATATTTATGTTATAATTTTCAAATAAATAATTATATATATATATATATATATATATATATATATATATATATGTATGTTCTAAATAAAAAACAAGGTGGGATATTCCTAGATAAAGACAGCTGAATGAGAACAATCTATCACCATAGATTAAATAAAAGGTTAAGTTTGACATTCCCTGAAGGAATCAACACCCACCTGAAGAAGTTTGAAAGAGACAACAGCCGAAACATTGTGATAACAACAAAGTTCAGGGAATTAGTCTGAATGTAAATATCTTTTTCATGTAAATTATCTCTCTTCGTTTGTAGAACCTATGTTTTTCCTAACTTTTAAAAAAAAATACACACACACACACACACACACATATATAATAGCTGGCCACTCATATTCAAGGATACCCATATATTAGGGTAAATAGCCAATCCCTATTGCAGACGCTTGGTCAGGCACATTTGTTTGTTCAACACCCACAGAGCCAACCTGTGGTTTGTATTGCAACTATGTTGAGCAGAACTTAGTTACAGTTTCTGGGAGAGAGTGTGTTATCTAGCGTGATCAACAATCTGAAGAAGGCCAGCACACTCAAACCCTCGGTCATGATGACTTGTGACTTTGTACTAGCACAGCTATTGACAGCTCTCAAGTGTTCCGTCTACCCAGTTTCACTCACAATTCACTCACAAGGCTTGGGTCAAACCATGGTATGGTTTACAGGCATTTTCCAAAAGTGCCGCACACTGGGGTCATCCCCCTCCAGATCAATAACATCAGGAACTCTACTTCCTGACAAATCAACCATGGTGAGATTTGAACCGGAGTCTCATGGTCAGAAAATGAACGTTCTAACCCTTCGGCCATGTGCACATGATAATGAGACAAAGTGGAAAAGTTCTTTAACAATGTGTTTCATTGATGTGTGTTAGGTTTGGCTTCTTTAGGTCAGAAAAAAAGATAAAATTATGTGTAAGGAAAATGTGTTGGGATTTTTGAGGATAAAAGGGGCAATAAATTACCTTATGAGATCTGAGCACAAAAGACCAAAAAGTGTTTGCTTCTTTGTTTTTATTTATATTTATATATATATATATATGTGTGTGTGTTTGTGTGTGTGTGTGTGAAAAGTGTATATAAATATAAGTATGTATAATTATTTATATATTATATACGCGGTACTTATTAGAAAGCGCTCAATATCAGAGATAGAGCTAACATATTTGCTTGGATAGATGCAACCAAATATATATATATATATATATATATATATATATAGTCATTGATGTCTGTTGGATTTTAAATAGAAAGATATTAGATATGATTTTTTAAGTATATATTGATATAAAATCTTGCATATTTTGTATATTTTTGTTGTTTGAGATAATTCCTTCAAAAACCATTATTTTATCTTATTTTTCTTTTCTTCTTTTTTTATATATAGCTTGCCATGCGAGCAAAGAATGCAAGAGAACATGTGAGGAAGAAAATCGAAGAACATAATGAATTGACCACAGACGAAGGAAGTCTCCAAGATGAATATTGCAATGAATCGGCCAATTCGACTATTTCAAATGTAATGGTGCAAAAAGCAGATTCTTGTGACAAAGAAAAATTACTTGGCAAGAATTTTCATTCTGTGACTTTAAAGAAACAAGAACTAAGTCCCATTAAAAACACAAGTGAAAATGTTACACGATGCTCTCCCTTGAAGGAAATGACAGTCACTGGCAAGTTTGATAGTAGTAAAAACGTTGATAAATCTGACTCTACTCCTGCTGAAATCAAGATTGGTGAGCCATTAGAGAAATGTCCAGATGAATATGTGACAAAAAATGAAACTGAAGATTCCTTTCCTCCTACTGACAATCTTCCAAACACAGAAATTAATAAGGTGAATTCTGGCAAGTCAACAGACACAGATAACTCAGAATCTTGTAGTTTGATTGCCAAACCAAAACCCAAAGACTTTGTTTGCAATGATTTTGTAAATGATTGTCACTTTAACTCAAGTCCGCCCACAATTAGAAGAAAACGGAAACATAGTGCATCATTTAGGGAAATTTTGCCACGGAAAACTCAATCAGTTGTTGAATTACACTGTGATATTGACCAAAGCTCAATGCATGAAAAGCCAAAGCTGAAAAGGCGTTCATATAAAAAGGAAGAACAGAATGTCATTCTTTTGTCTGTTTTGGATTATATTATAGAGGAAGGAAAACGTAACGCTTCTTTTACAGAATTCCAACTTCCTGATTCTGAATATGCACACATAAAGGCAAGATATCTAAAGAACAACAACTCATCCAGAGGTTCTTGCAAGAAAGTGAAGAATTTCTCAAGTTACCAATCCAAAACAAAAACAATTGGCATTACCGAAAAGTTAAATCCTAAAGAAAACTCAGAATCTGACACCTGTCTGAAAAAATCTCAAATATTAAAATCAGACTATCTTGAAGAATCTGACCATTTTCAAAAACATTTACCTAACTTAGCTGAGAGTGTTCAAACTTTGGTTCCTGAAAGTGCAATTAACACTGAAAGTTGTAAATTGGTATCTCAGAATATGTTAGATTCTGTTGAACATGATAATTCCAAGAACTTCCAGGAATGCTTATTTGAAACTGAATCAGCTGATACACCAAAAAGTATTTCTAGAGTTGATTCTAAAGCTGATAATGTTCTTGTAAGTTCAGAAGATATAACCCATTTTAACAATTCCAAAAGTTTCCAGAAATGTTTACCCTTCACCAAACCAGATTCATTTCAGAATCCCCCAGAATTAACTCATCAACCTAATACCCAAATTATCAGGTGCTCAGAAAAATCACAGAATCTTTCAGACTGTTTGAATCATCCTGATTCTAGAAATTCTGAAAAATACTTGCCTGAGACTGTTGATAAAGAAAGTAAGTTGATCAGTAAGCAAACTCCAAATCTAGAATCAAAGACTTGTTCAGGTGATTCACAGGATATATTAGACTCAGTTGATCCTGATCAGTCATTGAATGACAAACTTCCATTATTTCCTTGCTGTAATGATGGCCTGTCTCAGATGGCTGTAAATTCAGAAAATGATTCTATTGCTCCGTCCATTTCTACTGATGCAAAAATCCAAAACATCTCGGAAAGATGGCAAAACCTGGAAAGTCCCACAACTAGTTATTCAAAAACTAAAGATATTTATCAACATACCAAGGAGGATTCACCTGAAAGAGAAAATGAAGTTCATTGTTCACGGTCTAAAACTGATGTTTTGTTAAACAACAATAAAGCAGATCTTCACATAAGTGATGCAGAGGGAACACTTGACAATAGTATTGTTTCATCTCAACACTTATCTCCGATCCAATCAGAATTCACACAAGAAAATAAAAAAGCAAAGTCTACAATCGGTGGAACTTCATGTGATAAACCCAACAGTGAAAGTTGGATCCAATTTAAAAATGAAGAAAAGGATATTCAATACAGCCATCATTCTATAGACCATCCTACCATCTCACCAATTTCTAGATTTGATTCTGACCATTCATTGCCTTTTAATGAAAACATCTCCAAGTGCGTTGACTGTGAGCCTAATGAAATTACCCCATCCTCCATAGTAAAGACTTGTGTACATAGGTTTTCATCTTCTCTCTGTGATAGTGACAAGTTAAATGATAAAACATTCCAGGATTTCAAGAAAGCTGAAAGTTTCAGGGTAAGTATTTTTTTACTAGGTTAGCATGTCCCTTCATGATGCAGTCAGTCATAGTTCTCTGCAGTTTCCTCTATATTATCTATTACCATCAGTTCATTATGCATCCATCCCCATCAGTTCATTATATCTCACCATTAGTTAATTATCTATCCATTCCCATCAGCAGTTCATTATCTATCACCGTCAGTTCCTTATCTATTCATCCCCACCAGTTCATTATCTATCACTGACAGTTCCTTATTTATTCATCCCCACCAGTTCATTATCTATCACTGTCAGTTCCTTATTTATTCATCACCATCACTTCATTATCTCTCATTGTCATTTCCTTCATCAGTTCGTTATCTATCGCCATCCGTTCCTTACATATCTATTGCAGTCAGTTCATTTTCTATCCATCACCATCAGTTCATTATTTCTCAATTCATTATCTATCCATTCCCAACAGTTTATTTTCTATCAGTCAAATAATTATCTATTAATTCATTATCTATTTATTGCAGTTCATTATCAATCTACCTATTGCAGTCAGTTCATTATGTATTTGCCAATTGCCATCAGTGCATTATATATTTGTTTATTGTGATCAGTTAATTATCAATTTGCCTATCACCGTCAGTTTATTATATGTCACTATTAGATCATTATCTACCTATTGCCATCATTTCATTATCTATTGACATGATTTCAATATATATTGCTTCAGTTCATTGTCTATCTGTTGCCATCCGTTCATTATCCTATACATTGCCATCCGTTCATTATCCTATACATTGCCATCCGTTCATTATCCTATCTATTGCCATCCGTTCATTATCCTATCCATTGCCATCCGTTCATTATCCTATCCATTGCCATCCGTTCATTATCCTATCCGTTGCCATCCGTTCATTGTCCTATCCATTGCCATCCGTTCATTGTCCTATCCGTTGCCATCCGTTCATTGTCCTATCCGTTGCCATTCGTTCATCGTCCTATCCGTTGCCATTCGTTCATTGTCCTGTCCGTTGCCATCCGTTCATTATCCTGTCCGTTGCCATCCGTTCATTATCCATCCATTGCAATCCGTTCATTATCCCTCTGTTACCATCTGTTCGTTATCCTATCCATTGCCATCCGTTCATTATCCTATCCATTGCCATCCGTTCATTGTCCATCCGTTGCCATCCGTTCATTGTCCATCCGTTGCCATCCGTTCATTGTCCATCCGTTGCCATCCGTTCATTGTCCATCCATTGCAATCCGTTCATTATGTATCCATTGTCATCCGTTCATTATGTATCCAATGCAGTCAGGTACTTGCTCCTTTCTTTGACTTTGTGGTACCTGTTCAAACTTGTCAAATATATTAATTGCTGTTTTTCTTTGTTTTTCATATATTTGAAATATGATTTGTGACTTTTCAATTCTTAAAGCCTACTTTCCACATTATGTGTGCCCCAGATTTCATCTGTCTCTTTCTAGACAAAGAAGTACACTGTAATCAGATGTCTGAAGTAATTAGTGCATATGCTAGACTGTGTGGGTCTCAATAGACCTAGCATAGTAATAAATACTATATGGGAGCCATTGATAAATAAAAAGAATGACAGCAAGGCTCAATAGCAGCAGCATAAGAACATTAAGCATTTAAGATTCCAAGTTCTAGGTTGAGGATTGTCCCATGGTGCAATAACCTAGTGGATTAAAGTGTTTTGTGAATTTGGTAACAGTAATCGTGAATTCAGTCCCGGTGCCGGATAGTATAGACTTAAACTCACTAGAAACAGGGCAAGCAATAACAGAGCAGTTCTAAATAAAAAACAATATGGGATATTCCTAGGCAAAGACAGCTGAATGAGAATAATCTACCACCATAGATTAAATAAAAGGTTAAGTTTGACATCCCCTGAAGGTTACTTCAACCAACACCCACCTGAAGAAGGCTAAAAGACACAACAGTTGAAACACTGTGATAACAACAACGTTCAGGGGATTAGTCTGAATATAAATATCTCTTTCATATAAATTATGTCTGTTTCTTTGTAGTTCCTATCTTTTGTTTAAAAAACTTGTTACATATTGTCTGTGACTTTCTTATCATTCATCAGTGAAACCATATTTTGGCCATTTCAGATCTTTATTTGTGACAAAATTAATTTGAGAGAGTCCATCCTGGGTATGACAATAAACTACATCTGGCAGCAATGCCTCTGATCAGGAGATTTTGAGGAGTGTGGAACCACCTCTTAATTGCTATTGATCCCAGGTCCACCCCGATCCAGGGTAGTAGCACCTGTTAGGGTCCTAGCTATGGGCAAATAGTTAACTGGGGTCAAAATGCTGTGAAAGTATAAAAGACATTTTTATAGTAAAAACACCAGCAATACATTTTTATAGTAAAAAATTACCAGCAATACATTTTTATAAAAGAAATTACTAATACTTCCTCTCTTTTGTTTTCCAAAGTAACATTTGATTCTTTATCAACCCTCTTTGTCTCTGTTTTGCTATCCATTCATATGACTTCACTCTCTCCCCTGTTACTTCATTTGCCTTCACTATGTCTGGTGAATATTAAATGTTCTAGGCTTACTTTCTTCATTATATATTCCAGAAATTTCAACTTTCTTTATCTGATTGTATGCTTTGTTACAACTTCCACATTGCTCATATATTCTGTCCATGATATTCTTAGCATCCACTGATAGAACCACATCTTTGTCATCTCAATTTTCTTCTCTTTCTATGAGGTTATTGTCCAGCATTCATTGCCACACAGGCAAATTAGATATTACATAGCAATTCAGCACTCTATTTTTTGCTTATTTCTAATGATATTTTCCTGTTGTAATACTGCAACATAAACTTAATGGTAGATGGTATACAACAGTAACATTACAAATTCTTCAAAGATTAATGTGTTTGCCCTCTCAATTTATGATTATTTAGCTGCATATCATTTCAGAAAAATAGGTTTTTCAAGTTCATTAGCTTTTATTGCCTTTTCCAGTATTGATAGGCCGTTTCCTTCCTAACCTTTTGTTTGAAGTAGTATGGAATATCAACATCTTGATTATGTAATTATTTTCTCTTCCACTTATGAAATCTTTCTCTTAAACAATTTTTCATGAAAATAGTTTTCTCAAGTTCAGTAGCTTTTATTGCCTTTTCCAGTATTGATAGGCCGTTTCCTTCCCTAACCTTTTTCAAGTAGTATGGAAAACATCTTGATTATGTAATTATTTTCTCTTCCACTTATGAAATCTTTTCTTAAACAATTTTTTTCAGAAAAATAGGTTTTCAAGTTTTAGCTTTTATTGCCTTTTCCAGTATTGATAGGCCGTTTCCTTCCTAACCTTTTGTTTGAAGTAGTATGGAATATCAACATCTTGATTATGTAATTATTTTCTCTTCCACTTATGAAATCTTTCTCTTAAACAATTTTTCATGAAAATAGTTTTCTCAAGTTCAGTAGCTTTTATTGCCTTTTCCAGTATTGATGGGAGTTTTTAACCTTTTATTTGAAATAGTGTGGAATGTTAACATGATAACAAAAACTACATCATTAGAGGACTCCCACTATTTTAAAAACAATTTAATAAAAATGCAATATCATTTTTTGCATATCGTTTCTTTAAGTTTTTATATATACAAGAATCCAGTTTTCAGTTCACCTTGCATATGCAAAAAATGATATTGCATTTTTATTAAATTGTTTTTAAAATAGTGAGAGTATTTTATATGTTAAATAATAAAACTTAATTTTTCAAAAGAAATGAAAATTTATTTTACTAAGCTACTCACCCTAGTAAAACAAATGGTACTTTGTACTTCTTTACCTGTTTGCACTTCTCCCCAAAATTTGGTTTTGATTAGTCAATGTATGGCTGTTTTAGAGGGTGTGATGGGTAGACTAATGAAACTGACAGAATTTTATATATAGATTGTTTCACTAAGTACATTAATTAATTGGTGTCATGTGAAGCTAATATTCCATTAATACTAATGAAATGACTAAATAAATCCTCTTCAAGTTTTGTCTCTGTTTTTATGTTCTCAGCATGAATGCTAAAAAAAAAATAATGGTAAATTTTTACTATTACACCCATCTCCTTTTAGAGGTGAAATTTGCTTTTCTTATGGTTTTTGGCGTGTTTTGAATGAATCTGGCCTTCAAAACTGTCATAAAATAACTTGTTTTCTGTGGGTCTCCCTAACCAAAACCTCCTGGTTCTAATTGAGGTTTACCCATATTGATGATTGGAGATGGTGTGTGTGGTGGGGGAGTAACTAAAAAATGAATAATTTCCAAAGTCATAAAAAAAAACACAGGTAAAGCATAAATTTTACCTCTAATGGGAAACTGGCGTAAGCGTAAAAATTTACCAACATCATTATTTCTTTTTGTTCCTTAGAAAAGTAAAACAACATTACAATTTCAGTAAATAGTGATTACCAAAATCTTTTTAGTGATTATATGTCTCTGAACAGGTTTGAACATTAAATGCAACCCTGGCCTTACTCATGCTCATCTAATTACTATTTGATATACTCCCACTATATGAAACCTAATTTTCAAACACACTGATGATAGACACTTTTTTGTTTCAGTGTATTATTGGTCGGGGGGTGGGAGTGATTTTTCTTGTTCAGTTTTAAAATTGCCATTTCCTGCCTTGATTCTAAGTGCTCTCCATGACACATTTGGGAATAACTGGAATATAATGCAATAACACATTATTATAAATTGACAATATTTTGTTGTTTGGTCACTCATCCAAATAATGAATAAAAATAATATTGCTTAACTTTTTTTTGCTTTATATTTCATATATGATTTGTTTTCTTGATTGCTAGCTCCCATGCGATAATGAGGAAGTTGTCAGTCTCCTTAACACTAGGTTCTGTCCTGGCTATAATGATTTCTCCCCTGTGACCAGGGACCTGCTTGTGTGTGTTACCCAATGCAGCATTTATTTCTGGAAATTAACTAAAGTTGCTCAATGGGAAATTGTCCATCGACAACAGATAACAGAATTGGTAAGTGACATTTGTTTATTTTTAAAAAGATATGACATTGAAAATAAATAATTAGTAACATCATCACTAAACCCATTGTAACCAGTAGATTACAGGTTAGAGATTATTTGAAGAGTTTATATAAGTTCTGGTGTATTCCTTGACCCCAAGATTTTGAAATAAAATTTCATTTTGAGGCCTAGATTTGCCATAGGAACTAGTTCCAACCTAATTACAAGAGCAAAAAGTAATACCAAACAGCTTAATTGTTTACAATATTTACATTCTAACTATTATCCTCATCTTTGTTGTTGTTGTTATCACAACATTTGGCTGTTGTCACCTCTGCATCTTAGCACCAAAAGGTCAAGTTATAGAGAGGAGTTTGCCAAATATCATGAACTCCAGTCACAAGATACAACCATAAACCCCAGATATATAAGTAGGTATCTCCACAGATACCTAAGGTTTAAAATGAATTTTTCAAGATGAAAAACCTTTCTTGAAACTTTTATTTTGGTTTTAATTTCAAGTTAATAGATTTTAATTTAATATTTCCAATAAGCAAAATACTTTGCTGTATTTCAAAACTAATTTAAATTGACTGGAAGGAGTTTTCATTTTGAAATTGCTAAAATCACTGATTTTAGCACCATTTTTAACTATCTTTCATCACAATATAATTCACTTTAGTAAAAAAATATTTCAAAAATACAATATACTTTTCTGAAACTTTATTCAAGGAATATTAACTGCATTAAGGTTTAATTAATCTTAAGTTTAAAATATTACAGAAATGCATTTTTTAAACAGTAGGTGTTGGCAGGTTGACTGCTAGACAAAATTTTATCTATTTTTTTCTTCAGTGGACATATGAGTGCCTTCTTTTTAAATACTTTTAATTACCCAGTAGTCTTAAAAATTTTGGAAAATATTCTTTAATGTTTTATTGAACTTTAGGTATTTGGCTTTAAATTTACTATAGTTATTCATCTTATTTTCTGATAATATTGGATATGGATGGCTGTATTTACAAAAATTGGCACATTTATATACACAACAAAAGAAATTCAAAATATAGGTGTCAATGAATTGTACTAAGCTTTTCTATTTATAATTCATATAGTCTTTACTTAGTAACATCACCTAACCTCTGCAAAGTAGGACCAAATTTTAAAAGATTTAAAAATTCATAAATTATTCTAATTAAAATTAAAACAAAATGAAAACAATTCTTGTAAAAATTCATTATTTATCAAAAGAATTTTTCCTTGAGACTATAGTGTCCATAATATATCTTATTCATATAAGCAATTAAAAGCTTTTCTTATTAAATAATGTCTTAGTTTTATTGCAACTTTTCTATTATGATTCAAAGCAGATTTTCAGTAACTGGAGGTCCTGTTTTACAAAAAAGAAATTAAAAGTTATATATATATATATATAAACATTAAGCTCTACAAAATTTAATTTCTTAAAATTTTGTAAAATTAAATAAGTGTGTGTGTGTGTGGGGGGTTGTAACAGATGTAAAAAAAATATTTTCTAAAAAAAAAAAACTTTTAAAAACATTTCATTAATTTGTGAAATTATCGTAAAAGTTTCATTAAAATCAGACAACTATTTGATTTTTGCAGGAATTTACAAATCGGTGTTTTTAACCACAAAAATGCATTAACATTTATTATACTAATCTTTACTCCCCCACCCTTACCCTTGATGCAAAAAAAAGGATCAAAAGGGTTACTGTTAAAATGGTTATGATGAATGAGGCGTATAATATGAATTAAAGAGGAGTTGTAGATTATGAGTTCAGAATTAATTATATTACATTCCTGTAAGTTAATACCTGGAAATGCCATCCCCAAGTCCTCGTATTATCAGTGTTAAGGAATTTGTGCAACAGGCCAAGCAGTTTATATACACACTTGGTTGATTTGGAGGTGATTGAGAAGAAATCATCTGTCTTTGTTGTTGAAAGAAAAACTATTATCAAGACCAAGATTACCGTGAAGTTTCTAGCTATGTACTAGGATATTATTTAGCTGTATATTTTGTTCAATTTGAGGAAGTAGTGGCCAGGAGTTCATAGGACTAATGACCCCATGAATAAAAGTGCTGATTAAGAGAATTGAGTTACCTGATAGTTGAAGGTTCACTCACTTGGTTGGGTAAGGTGAAAAAAAATGATTCTTGTTCAGTGAAAGAGACAAACACCACAAAGCTAAATAGAATTAACTGATATGAAATATGTAACATTGACAATGGAATGGGAACTCTCTACCCTCAAGGATTGAATAAAGTGTTGTTTTTTTTGTTTTTTTAATTTTCAGAATGTTACCAATGTTAGCCATTTAAGTAAAACAGCTGAAATGTACCAATAACAAATAAAATTAGAAGACTAGTCAAAGAAAATCAATGTATAATAATGATAATTCCTCATATATAAAATTAAGACAAAAATTAAAGTGTTGTTCTTTTCTATTTTTTCTCACAGGAGCAGTGTTGTCATGCATCTCTGCATCCTCTACAAAAAGGCATTGGGGTGGCCACTGTTTTGGTTAGCACTGAAGGACAGAGTCAATTGGTTCTTCATATATTCCAGATACAGGAAGATATGGGAAAAAACCATTCACTTCCTGTTATTTTGCCACAGATCCATAAGTATGTTACTTTGTCATTTCTTCTCTGTCATTAAAAAAAATCTTTGGGATTTCAAATTTTGCTTTTTGAAAATTTGTTTCTTCTGAATATATTTTATTTTCAAAAATGAAATAAATTTTCAGAATTGTTTAAGTTAATGTCACTTTAGGTTAATTGTTTCTGACTCGGGTGTAAAATATAAACTAACTTAAAAGCTGCTGTATCAGGTGTAAAATATAAACTAGCTTAAAAGCCACTCTATCGCCCCGTAGAGGGCTCTTAATTGGGTCTTTATCACAATAGGCAAGAACAAACTACAGAAGAAATCAAAACTAATTCTTGCATTTAAGTATTGCATTAATACTTAAGCTTAACTTTTAAAAGTTCAATGATAATTCTTCTGCTGCCTCTTAATTTAAAGACAGTTTGATGTATGTAGGTCCTTACTTTCCATACAAATAATTATTTTCATTTTATGGGTGACTTTCAATGGATTTTGTAATTGATTTCAATTATCCCCAAATTTATTTCCAACTTATAAAAATTGTTATCATGCAAAAAATTTTGTTGCAAAAAGTCATGTAAAAAAATCACCGAAAGCAATTGCAGTAATGAAAAATTGGGACTCCAAAATTTCAGGATTGTGGGTCCAGATCTGGCTCATAATGTTTTTAATTTGCTCACAGTCTGCCTGATTCCAAAATGGCATGATTTTGGGCTACAGTCTTTAGGTGTAAAGTTGAAAACATGGATAATTTTATTTTGGAACACTAATTTGGGAACAGTAATTTTTTCATCGTTTAGACGACAATTTATCAATCGCACCCTTTTTGCGTGTGTGTGTGTGTGTATACACACATATATATGCACAAATACACACACGTTTAATTTTTCTTCTGTTCTTATAATTTTCTTCTTTTCTGGACATCAGTTACATAGAAATTGTTTAAATGTTTAGCGTGTCTGAGCTGCTTTTGGCTATACTTTCAGCCATTATCAAGGATGATTTTATTTTTACTTTTTAATACATACATAAAACAATGAGAACAAATGGAGTATAATTCCACTGTATGTAACATTTAATTTAAAAGAGGGCTCAATATGTAGTAGAGCTAAATATTATAATTTAAAAAAAAAAAAGCTAGAACATGTAGATCCTTAAATGAACTTAACATGATCCTTAAATGTATAACTGAAAGCACTCGGGGATTGAAAAAACATTTGGACAGTTTTTATATAATTTATCTACTGAAAAGAAAAAAAATTATAAGATCACATGAGAAATTATATAAAAAAAACTTCATCAAAGCACCTTGTCTGTCATATTTAATGAAACTTATATATATATATATATATATATATATATATCTACTGAGGCACGGTGGAGTAATGGATAGCGGCTTGGATTGAGGAATCGGAGAGCCGAGTTCGAATTCCAGTTGAATCCATTACATTCACTTACGTGCTAATACCCTTGGGAAAGGTATAAATCCTCTTCCTCTCCCTCCAGCTATGGGTAAAATAGCAGGACAGACTGGGTTCTATAGCCTTGGATGGCAACTGGTCTAGGAGAAGGACAACTCTGAATTCAAAACCTGCGGAGGGTCGTTTGGGAACCTTGTGGTATTCGGTGCACCAGGTCTCTGTATTTGTCCTTCAAAAGTGTGGATGGTCCTGCACGAGGCCTTCACCACTATAATAAAATCTCATGTGCCGTGTCGGGCTGTCGGTTTCCTGAAATTGATCTGCTTGACCCTCATACGTCGAATCTCGATGGGAGAGTCAATTATATATATATATATATATATATATATATATATATATATATAAAAATATATTTTAAGACATTTTTTATGATTATACGTTCTTTTTATAGATACAAATATTTAAGTAAATGCTCTGTTTATAATAAACAGTATTAATGACATTTACCGGCTTGAATTTGAGAAATTTTCATAGAAAATATGCATCCTCCAACAGTAATCAAACCTGAATCCTATACGGAACCGTCATATAGCCTTATGTGCTTTTACCGATTAAGCCACAGAAGAGTGTTTCAGTTAGCAAGGTTGATTTTACTGTTTTTAAACTACAATTTGCCATGATTTTCTCTCGTACATTCATACCTGCTTGATGCGTATCCAAATGTAAACAAATGACGTCACACATTATGAAATGGACAAAGTCCGACAATTATTTTAAGACATTTTTTATGTTGATATGTTCTTTTGATAAGCTAATTTAATTTATTGCCCCTCTTATCCACAAAAATCCCAATGCATTTTCCGTACACACAGTTTTGTCTTTCATTCCAACCTGAAGGAGCCAAGACCAACGGATGTGGGTGAAATGTGTCATTTATAAGCTTTTCGATTTTGTCTGATCCTCTTTAAGAATAATCATATAATTTTCACTTTAAATTTTATAAGACTCTTCACATAGAAGAAAATTTAAAGGAAAGCAATTCACTCAAATTAATTACTAATTCTTCCTAATACTTTTGATATTCTTCATTTAATCAAAGATAGAAGATAAGATACCCACCATGGCCCATATACATTTTTTAGCATTTCTGTGTATTTTAATGTATTCCTCAATTTCTGCACTTAAGGACTCAGATATATTTTAATCTATTTTTGAAAGCAAAGGTGTGTCTTTTATGGCATTAACTATGGTATGTTTGCCATTGTTCCCTAAATTAATGGATGTGAGGATAGTGTGAAAGTTCATTATTTACATTATTCGGACTATTGTCCTCATCTTTGTCACCATATTTATCACAACGTTTTGGCTGTTGTATGCCCCGGTTCTTCAGGTGGTTGGAATGTCGAACTGAACCTTTTATTTCTCTCACTGGGGTAGACTGTTTTAGTTCCACGTGCCATGTTTGATGGATGTCAGTTATCAGTTATCTCCTGTTAATTTCCCTCTGAAAGTTCTCCACTGCCTTAATCGGGTATTGAACTCACACTCTTTGGGTTCTGTCACTGGATCTAACCAATACCTTTATCCACTGTGCCATGTGTCCTCAAGGACAATGGAAATTTAGCAGATTGGACTCTCTTGCCTTGACATAGCAACCAGTCTAGGGGAAAGAAAACACTGAATTCAAAACCTGTCTGAAGAGGGATATGTTTTGTCAGGCTGTCTTGCCCTAGACACATCACTGCTGCCATGTCTGCAGTACATCTTATGACCCAAATGGGTTATGGGAGTCATTATGAGATTCTAGAGAAAAAGAGTTAATTGTAAAAATTAGTCCCAGTCAAAACGGTAAAATGTAGTCATCTCTTCTACTCCAATAGCTTCATGTCTTGCATTTCCCGTTTGTAGAACTCCTGTCTTCTTACTTGCTTCCCTGATAGCTATAATCTCCATCTGTTCCGATGCAATGTCAGTCGACATCTCCAGATGCCTTAATCTATTCCCTGTCCTTCTCTTCATCCTTTCCTCTATCACGCCTCTTTACTCTTGCTCCTACTCTCTGTAACCCCTTACGTGCTAGTGGCATTCCCGCCTTGCTTGGGGTGAAAAGCTTAAAAAAAAAAATCTTCCCAAAATTTTTTTATTAATCTGTTACAGTTTTACTGGCTAGTAAATATGTTTTAGTTTTGTAATGCTTTGGATATAGAATTTAGTTTCTTTTTAACTTAGTCACTTAAAGAAACGTATTGTCTTTTTGCCAGTATTTTTATAAACAGTAAGAATGATTTCTTATCTTTTAAATTAACCTTTTATAAACCTTTTTCCCCTCCCACTTCCTGTTCCTGTTAAATACATGTGAATAATTTCCTTTTAATCTTAGTCATCCATAGTTTAAGACATTTCTTAAAAGAAGGAATTGTCTTAGGAGTGGTATTTCCTGCAAAGAAAAATCTTGTAAGCAGTTTTCTAAAGTAGATTTTAATGTGTAAGGTTCTTCATAGCAAAAATCGCCATTGGTTGATTTTACTGAAAATGTGCAAGATCCCCTATACAGAGATTGTCCTGAATTCATGGGTTGTTGGTAGGCATCATGACATTTCTTTTAACAAAAAGAGATTATGATTCAAAAAGTTTGAGGAGGTTTACATTATTCGGACTGTTATCCTCATCTTCATTTCCATATTCACAATGTTAGGCCATTGTATGCTCTGGCCTTCTTCAGGTGATTGAAATTTCAAACTGAACTCTTTATTTCATCCACTGGGGTAGATTGTTCTAGTTTCATGTGCCATGCCTCTTCCGGATGTCTCAGTTATTTCCCTTTAACTCAACTCTTCAAGTTTTGGTTCATCACTGCTGTGGCCTGGTATTGAACTCACAACTCTTTGGGTCTAGAAACTGGATCTAACCAACGTTTTATCTACTGGACCATGTGTCCTTTGACAAAGAGTCTTGAGAATGTCTGATGACAGGATACCCCAAATCCTAATGTACAGCCAGTTAGATCAGGGCTATAAGAATTTAGGATGCCCATGGCTAAGATACAAAGACAAGCTGAAGAGCAACTTGTCAGCTGTCAATATACCTCATAACACCCTTGAGCGCTTAGCCTTGGAGCGGGTAGAATGAAGATCAATGTGTTTTAGTGAACTCAGCAGTTTTCAGTCTGCTAGTCTGAACCATCTTCAAGAAGCAAGAGCAAGATCTAAAAAGTCAGCCAACCTAACAGTGACCTCATCCCACAATCCTCATTCTTGCTCCATATACAGTCTCCTTTGCAAATCACTAGCAGGTCTTAAGTGCCACAAGATTATCGCACAAAATTCATAACTGAATCAATTGGTTAAGTTGTCAGATCCTTATATATCAAAACCAACAGGAGAGTCCATTAAATATACATAGATAAATATGCAAGTAAAAACTAGGCAAAAAACAGTAATAAGGCAAAAATTTTGCAAAGTAAGAATTATGTTCACACTCATAAGGGATTCAGTTAGCGAAAAAAGAACAAAATTTATGTGGAATGTCATTGAAAATTGTCCATTTTTATTTATGATGAAGAAATTGCAGCATGCAGATGTAGGATTGGTATATAGAATTTGTAGGGGTTATATTCTTAGCAGTCATTCAAAACATTGGAACCAACATATCGTGGGCTTCCAAATTTAACGATGTTGATAATTTTCTTGTTCTGAATCTTCATGCTCTGGCAGTGTATCAGAAAGTAATTCAAGACAATTCGTAGAGAGTAATGAAGACACTGGAAGCAATGATTGTCCTTGAGTGACTGACAAGATATTTCTCTGATGTTACACATTGTCAGGAACCTCATGAGAAAAGGGGCATTTTTCACTACTACTACTACCAAAAATATGCATAAAAATAATAATAATAATAATAATAATAATAATCCTTTCTCTTTATCTGGTATACTGGAACATATCGGCTTCCTCAAAAATATATTTCCAAATTTGATGATGTTAATTTATTTCTTTCTATTTCAGGTTAATCTTCAGTTCTTTGAGTAGCTGTTCAATGGCTGTAGCCAGGACATCAAGTGACAAAACCATTGATATCTGCAAATACAGCTTTTCTGAGAATTTGACTTCTGTAGAAAGCATTCTCACCTTAGATTTTTTATCTGAGAAACTTTTATCATTAAGTGCTGTTCAAGGATTACCTGCTGCTTTGCTTGGTTTCACCACAACTAATATTATATTTATATGGTAAGTATATCATTTTTCTTGCCAGAATCTATTACACAGTCTACCAATTGTCCATGCATCGTCACATGTGGTCTGGTGCATCTGCTATGTATTTAGAGATTCTAGATAAAATAAAAAAAAATTCTGCAATGTTATTGATCCTGACCTGGCATCTCAGCTTCAGTCACTTTCCCACCACTATGTCTTTTCTATAAATAATTTCATGGTAATTATTCTGATGAACCTGGACTTTATAAATTTAAGACCAGTACTAGGTTGGTGGCAAGATCTCCTCATTTTATCATTTTATAGTTGAAAATATCTAGATGTAACCGTAAGTTCTGCACTAACAGTTTCTTCTCTTGTACTTCTTGCTTGTGGAACTCTCTTTTGGCTTCTTACGTTCCAGTCAACTTTGATCTTCAAGAATTTAAATGTATTGTCAATCATTATCTACTCTTCTTGATTACTCTCCTATTGTTCCCAATCACTTACTTGTCAGACACACTTCCAACTCCATGCTTTCCAGTCAACTTTGATCTTCAAGAATTTAAATGTATTGTCAATCATTATCTACTGTCTTCCTGATTTACTCTCCTATTGTTCCCAATCACTTCCAGACAATCACTTCTTTCCAGTCAACTTGTCTTCAAGAATTTAAATGTATTGTCAATCATTATCTACTGTCTTCCTGATTTACTCTCCTATTGTTCCCAATCACTCCATGCTTTCCAGTCAACTTTGATCTTCAAGAATTTAAATGTATTGTCAATCATTATCTACTGTCTTCCTGATTTACTCTCCTATTGTTCCCAATCACTTCTTACTTGTCAGACACACTTCCAACTCCATGCTTTCCAGTCAACTTTGATCTTCAAGAATTTAAATGTATTGTCAATCATTATCTTCTGAATTCTTTTTTTTTTATTGTTCTCTCTCCTTAATAATGTTTTTTTTTTCTCATATTTTTTCACCCTCAGTAAACCTTTGTGTATTAGTGGCTTTATTGCCTTGCTTGGGGGTGAAATGATTGAAAAAAAGAAAATTACATTTTCTAATCTGTTCATACCTTACTTAATCCCTTAGAAGCAGTTAAGATATTTCTTGAGCAATTTCTTTGTTCTGAAACAGCTGATGAGATATTTCATAGATATCACATATTCACAAGTCATGGATGTACTGATGCAGTGCTTAAAATAATTCATTTTTGCCCACATGTTGGTAAAAAATACTCCATATAACAATTGTTTTCACAGTTGATATTTACACCTATTGCTGATGTATTAAATATTTGCAGTATTTAAACCTGTCACTTTGCTGCTTAGTATTCGAAGTATTCTTCTGGTGTAAATAAATATATGATTGTTAGAAAATTGTTACTAGATATTTCACACCTGATGAGGATTGCCACCAGGTGTAAAATTCTGGCAGTAATTGTTTTGACAGTGACACACACAGTGTGTGTCCATAAAGTTCGTGTGCACTTTAAGAAATTTATAACTTTATTTGTATTTGCGATAGAAATAATTTGTAAAAAGGATTAGAAAGAAGTAAATCTATATTTTTTAAGGTTTTATTGAAATTTTATTTAAGTTTCCACGTGTCCTCCATCATTAGCAATACAAAGGGTAATACGATTTTGAAGTTCATGGAAAATATTTGCCAAGTGATTTACAGTAATGCCTGAAATCACATTAGTTATTTTAACTATACTTAAAACTAGGTACATTAAACTTTATAACATTTTTTACAGATTATTTCTATCGCAAATACAAATAAAGTTATAAATTTTTTAAAGTGCACACGAACTTTATGGACACCGTGTGTGTATGTATGTGTATATATATATATATACACACACACACACACAACACAAGTATAGGATTTTTGTATGCAGAATAAATTCCAATAAGCAACAAATACTATTCTTAAAAGAGTGCTCAATACAGAGTAGAGCAAATATAATTATTTATTCAAAAACTATAACATAAATATGTTATAAAATCACTACAAAAATAGCCATTTTGTTTCAACACTTCTGGTGTCTTATCAGGTGACAGTGTTTTATATATATATATATATATATGTTTTGTTAAAAATGACTGCCAAGGTACTGAGGTTAAGTTTTTTATTTACTTTTTCTTGTGTTCTTATAATTTTTTTTCTTTTCTGGACATAAATTATGTAGAAATTAGGCAAATGTTCTGTATGTCTGAGCACTTTTAGCTATTCTTTTATCCATTATCAAGGATGATTTTATTTTTACTTTTAACTGAATGTATGGATTATTTTATTTTCATGTATTTAAAAAGAAAGGCTAAAAATAATGGAAGCATTATTAATAAATAAGAAGAATCTGACACTCAATAACATCAACTATGAACATGGCCACAATGTGCTGCCTGTGTTTGGGAAATAAAGTATTCTTATAATTCTAGATACATGCATTATAATAATTTTTTATTTTCTAGATTTGATATCAATTTTTTTAGGGAATAAAAATATTTGATAACAAATACAAATTTAAAAAAACGAAATTTACCCTGTAGTATATTTTTTATTATTGCTCTTGAATTTAAATGTATCAAAACTGATAACATTTTTTTTGTCATATATAAAACTTTTAACTGTTTGAATTTCTTAAATGAAGTATTTTCATTAAATTTAATTAGCTTCTTCTTTTATCTGTATTTTTATCTTTTTAATTTTTATAATTAATTGTTTTACATTCTACCACTTTGAAAGTAAGCAGCTGGAATTGGAAATAAAAATATAATCTCTTGTGAGACTTGAACTTGTATCCCATATCCTGGAAAACTGATAGAATGTTGCAACTTGGCTATTGAGATAAAAAGTGACAATAACATGAAAGAAAAACTAAACAAAAGTAATAATGAAAATAATACTTCTTTAAGTTTAAAGACGATTATATCTACTACTATTATATAATAAACAAATATGGCATGAAAAACCAGATAGTGAATGGGAGAAAAAGGGTTAGCTGCATGATTCCAGATTTGTCTCTACTACCGTAACTTTATAACCAAATCGGTAGAAGTTACATCTATATCAAACAGCCTTCCAAGGTATAAGATGCAAGTCCAAATCTCATCAGAGGAAGTTTTTTTGTTTTTTTTCTAATTCACACTGCTTGCTTTAAGTCATACAATATAACTATTTGAGCACTAGGATAGAAACATAGATAAAAAGAAGATTAGTCAAAGTTAGTAATTAACGGTTTATAATCTATCAAATTGCATATTGGTACTTTGAGAAATTAAATAGAGATTTTAAATTTTAAATATAAAAATTGTTATAATATTTGTTTCTCTAATTTAAAAGAAAAAATATAAAAATCTTAAAAGTGTTGTTTTACAAGATGAAAATAAAATTAAAAAAAAAATATTCTATTATTGGTTAATTAATAATTAGTATTATCTTAAAGATAATACTAATTATTAATTTTGATAATTATCTTGATGAAATTGATGTAAATATTTTTTCTTCAGGAACCATATTGCTAATGTTTTGTTGACCAAAATTTCTCTGTGTGACATCATGGTGAAATCCTGCAGACTACCCTCTGCTTTTACAGAACAGGTATGTATCTCTCTATCGTCCTAATACCATTATAAAATTTGTCCCTTTGCTGATTGATATTATATTCAGAACCCCAACTCCAGAGAGTTTTGCAGATAAACCTTTTTGTAATTGTTCAGTCCACTCATCAGGAGGTTTTCAGCAATTGTCTGCTAATTTTTTTTTTTTGCATTTTAGCTTTCTTGTCACATACAAGTGAAATGGGTGGAAGGTGAACTGAAAAATTATTGGCAACAAATCATCAAAGCATAGTAAACAATTGTGGGAGTGATGTCAGGTTAACTGTTGACTGATAATATTAGTGTTGATAGACTAAGTAGTTCTTGGACTTATATATAATGAGAACCTGCTGATAGTTATGAGTATCTCGTGAGGCAGCCAAAATATATACAGACACACACACACACACACACACACACACACATACATACATATATATATATATATATATATATATATATATATATATATATATATATATATCCTTTAACTTAAGAAAAGAGGTAAAAATTTGCTTTTAAATTTCCCTAATAAATCATTTTTATCACAAGTTATCTACCATCGCCTGCAGATGTACCATCTTAGTACTGAAACATCATAGTTTTTGTGCAGTGATGTAAAATGTTTTTATTGTAATTTATTATAATTAAAAATATAATAATATATAAAATACAAATAAAATTTGTCCCTTTGCTGATTGATGTTATATTCAGAACCCCAACTCCAGAGAGTTTTACAGATAAACCTTTTAGTAATTGTTCCGTCCACTCATCAGGAGGTTTTCTCTAATTGGCTGCTGATTTACTTTAATATTAGTTAATTTATGCTCTTTTTATTGGTGTCAGATTGATTTTTTTTTCTGTTTGTATGTGTGTGTGTGTGTCCACATGTGTAGGATGGTGTGGTTATTTCTTTTTTTTTTTCATCATTTTCTTGTCTCCTTACACACACTCTCTCTCTATTCCTTTACCTTCTTTTTTCTCTCTGAGTGTCAAATAGCTCATCTGAAGTTATGCAAATCATATAAACCTCAGTAACTTGAATTTGCTGTCAAGATTTTTGTCAAATTTTAAATGATTAATTTAAATGTCAAAACAAAGCTCATATTAAATTTTTAGCCAGTTTCAACTTGTTTTATTAAAGATATTGGATCTATTATAAAAACTGCAGTCCGAAGTTATGCAAAACCAGAAAATCACTTTTTACTTCAATAACAAGGTAATAAATGTTGTAAACTATAATTAGTTAAAAGTATTCACTACTATTTTTCTAATAGTTTAGTCTTCAAGATTAGGATTAGTCTAGCCTCCAGCTATATCAACTGTTATTTATATGGTGGAGATTTATATATGAATACAACATTCTCACCAATAATTAATCAACATCTGTAATAGAACAAATAACAAACATATATAAGTCTTTGAAACATTTACATCTTAATATAGTGACTCTTCTTCTAAATAACAGCCAGCAATTCTTTACTTCAGCAGGTTCAATTTCCATCATGCTGATTTAATTGCTTCCCATAGGTCTGCTTTGCTGTCATATTGTTTGCTACCTTCCTATAATTTCATCTTGACAATTGACCATAGATTTTCAAATGAATTCAGATTATGATTTGATGGTGGCCATTCCATTATTGTCTCTCCTGTAAAACTTTTTATGCTAAAAATTCATGGATAATCTTAGAATCTTATATACATGAGAAGAAGCATTGTCGTGCATAATTACACGCTTCATTTTGAAATTGCAAAGCTGGGACTTGTACCATTCAAAGAAAGTCTTGTCCTTGAAATTGCAATAATTAGCACTGTTCATTTTAACTCGTTCATTGATTTTGAATGGTCTAATAATGGTTTGGTCAACAGTTCTAACTTATATTATCACACTGCTGCCTTCTTTTAGTTACAGGTACATCTGCATCAGATAAAATCCATCTTTTGGCCCATCCATCAGGTCTATCAAGAGTCACCTGAGATTTATCCATGAAAATTACTTTAGAAAAATGAAATTTCATGTATTTTTTTGCTCAATTTTGTTGCTTTAAAATATTTGCTTTACTGAGAGGAATTTACCTAGATTTCCTGACAGATCTCAATTTGCAAAGTATTCTACACCTTTTATCCTTCTTGACTCCCTCAATTCCAGCCTGTTCAATGATCTGAGCACTTTTCAAAAGTGGTTGTTTCATTATATGTCACTTTATTTTATGTTTCCCTCAAGGAGACATGTTCTTAAAATTTTTCCTTTGCTGCTAATTCTCAACTTACTTATTATTTCAGCAGCCCTCTTATTGGTCAATGATCTCTGCGAAGCTCCTTTGATATCTCCAATATGGACATTCCTTCGCTCAATAACTTTGTTACTATCTGTTTTTTAGCAGTTGTTAGATCCTTCCCCTTACCCATGTTTCAACATATATTATCGACAAAAAGAAAAAAAATAGTTTTTATTAGATTTCAGAGGCCTTAAGCTAATATTAGTTTAATCAGCATAATAACTTCAGACTGCAGTTTTGATAATAAATCCAATAACTTTAATAAAACATAGGAATTTGGCATAATTCACCTGTCAAATTTTTTATATTTAACCTATTGTCCTGAAAATTGAGTTTTATATCCCTTTTTCGTGCTTATTAACATATAAAAAACCTGGCATCATACGGGCATTCGATTCTGAGAAATGGATAAAAATATTCAAAATTGATGTACAAATAATTTTGTTGTTCACACACACACACACACACATATATATATAATTATATTGAATTTTTCGGCTCTTGTTTTGAAACATGAGACTTCATATGTCGCGAGTTGGAATCATATTTTTAAATAAATAATTATATTTATGCTCTACTTTTGTATCGAGCACTATTTTTTAAAAATAATAATTAAAATACTAAGGAACTTTGGATTATTTACCTAACCAGTTCCTTCCTATTTTCTATATATTTTCACACACACACACATATATATATATATATATATATATATATATATATAAAGGAAGGCTGAAAACAGCTGCTCTTAAAAGGTATAGACAACAAAAAAGTGCTCAATACAAAATTCAAAGTTGAATGTGCAAAGCTAAGATTTCTAATATTTAAGAAATAGCTAAACTGCCAGCCTACCTTGCAACCCGGGCTTTGACCGCAAAGTCTTCTCAGGCAAGTGGAAGGATGTACAAACCAGGAAACTACTCCAATATACCAGAACACCGCAAATGAGGGGGTAAAAGTATGAGGATAAGGGGAGATGAGAGAAAAATATTATTTATTGTTTTATTTCACACATCCGGGTTCATAGGTACCTAAAAAATATCTTCTTAAATGCCTGCACTTAGTTATAATCTCCTTTCTCTCATTTAATAAAACACCTTTATCAGGATATGTGGCAATAACCAATTTCTCTTCCTGGCACAACCAGCAACAGTTACCACGAATCCTGCTGAGTTTTACCTTCCTTACCATACACCACCTCACACAAAGGCTCCTGCTATACCTTTCTTTGTGTTTCCAGACACAATCGGCCAGCTCAGTGTCATATCTGTGGTTTTTCAACCTAAAAGATGAAACATGATTATAAAATCTCTTTTTGAAAGGGTCCGCAGTACATCCAATGTATATTTTCTTGAAACCATTCTTATCGCTGGCCTCAGCAATGTAAATGATGTTTTCCAGGCAGCACTTCCCATCCAATGGACAATTATTTTTATATTTGCAGTTGCATATCTTTTTTTCTTCTCTTCCACACACACACACACACACACACACACACATATATATAAATAAACAATAGTAGGTAAATAAATGATAAAATGATGGAAAATTTAATTTAATACTGTTAATTTAAAATTAATATAACTGATCTTGGCAATAAACCCAGAAAGCTTTATTGGATGGAAGATGTATTACGAATTAGCTACATTACAAATAAAGAATCGGCAAAAGGTCAATTGGCTGAATATTGTATGTGAGTTGAGAATTAACCTATCATACTTTGAACCTGGTATTGCAAATCTTGTAGCAGAGAAATGGAATTGTTTATCATATAGTCTGAATTATAAATAGCATAAATAATAACTCCTCATTCCAGAAATTCATACAGAAAGAATATTGTACTTTTTTAAAATTTACATTGTTTTTATTTTTCTCTCTCTAGGGCCATATTGTATTTCCATTAATATTTGATGATGGCCCTGAACAAGGATGTTTACTTGCGGTTAATCCAAACACTGATGTTGTCATTAAGTTGCTGTCATACCAAAGACACTTATTACCAGAATCAAAGTGAGTATTTTATTTTGTTACTTTGAACAGGGATACAGTTAGTTTGTGGCAATTGGATTTTCATTTGATAAACTTAATAATTTAGCATTTGTTTTATGCACTGGTTAACGTAAATTATTCAATCTACAACGTATCTCCATGCACTTTTCATGAAAAAAATGCCTACAACTGCTTTAAAAAATAATTTTATTGTCAGAATCTTTGTGTCATTATTAATAAGATTAGAGAAAATCATCATTTTACAGTAGAAATGGCTAGATCTAACTGTAAGTTCTATGCTAACACTTTATTCTCTTGCATTTCTCGCCTGTAAAACTCTTTTCTGGTTTTTTGCTTTCCAGCCAATTTTGCTCTTCTAAAATTTAAATGCAATGTCAATCGTTATCTCATCTCTTCTTTTATTTGACTTTTATTGTCCTCTCTCCTTAATAGTAGTTTTTCTCATATTCTCTAACACTCAGTAACCCCTTGCGTCCTAGTGGCTTTATTGCCTTTAATCTTCAAAACTTAAATGCAATGTCAATCGTTATCTTTTGTCTTCTTAATTCTTGTTCTTTTATTGTCCTCTCTCCTTAATAGTAGTTTTACTCATATTCTCTAATACTCAGTAACCCCTTGCGTCCTAGTGGCTTTATTGCCTTTGATCTTCAAAAATTTAAATGCAATGTCAATCGTTATCTCCTGTTTTCTTGATTCCTCCTCTTTTATTTTTCTCACTCCTTAATAATTTTTCTCTTTTTCTTATCCTTTCACACTCAGTAACCCTTATGTCTTAGTGGTTTTTATATTTTAAAGTTGTTTCATTGTTATTTTCCTTGAAAATTTCTGAAATATTATCAAATAGAAATGTTTTTAACTGAGAAATTTAAAATTCAACAAAATCCAATCAAATGGATATTTTTTTTATTTTTAAATTACATTCTTTTATTGTATACAGAAATTATGTTGTTAATGTGTATGGAAGATTATTATGAAATAATTATCTTCTTTTGTTAACCATGATGTTCATATTAGATTGCATGTACAAACAAGGCAGGTTTTTGTCATTCATATTTCAACTTGTCCCAAGTGATGCTCATGATGTAAAGTTGTGAAGTCCATTGCTAATTTATTGCTATTTTCATAGAAAGTGTTCTAACAAACTACATTCCCTATGTCTGCTGGGTCAGACCATTACAGCTAAAACCCACTATGCCATGGGGTACAGGGGTACATAATCTTTATTCCATTCCTATTCTATTGGTAACAAGGAAGTTCCATTTAGGCAGGTTCTTCTTAGAACAGACTCCTGAGAGGATGCTTCTCTGACCACTGCAATCGTAACCTCATCAAGTGTAGTGTCAACTAATATCTATCCTACATATCCTCATAATCTGCAATTCTTACATCTGTGAAACAACTTCATTCAGTAACCCTCTGCCTTGAGTGTCTCTTGGGCCTTGTATTGGGTGAACTACAGTGTTAAAAAAAATCACTAGGAAGGCAGTGTTTTAAATCTCCAAATTCTTTCAGTTGTTTTGGGGTCCAGATTAATAATAAAATATAAATAAATCTAAATATAATTCCAGTCATAAATAGGAACTAATTCTTTTCATAATTTTAGTGACCAATTTATGTGAACTGCCTGATTCCGACCACTACCTTAGATGTTTTGTTGCTCCATCTGGAAATTAACATGAATTTTGGTTCTTTTAGAAAAAATAAATTTACTCATTTTACTTTTGTTTTTCTTTCTTTCTTTTCTTTTTTTTTTTTTTTTTTTCAGGTCAGACTCCAAAATGGCATTGATTCTTAATGAGAATTTACTGTCTGTTCAAGATAATGTACTTGGAATCTGGGATCTTTATTCTGGTTGTTTGTTGGCTTGCGTTAGCAGTTTTGGGATGACTTGCATGACCATGTTACATTCCAACAAAGAGATTCTGTTAGTTACTGGACATAGACAGAGTTGTCTTCATATATACAGATCACAACCTTTTTAATTTAGTTTCCAATCAACATGTAATGGATAAACGTATACAGAATCTGGACATTTTTATTTGGTGCTATAAACATTGACTTTTCTTTGGTGCTTTAGCCACTAAGCTATTATGTTAGATGGCAGTACTGTTATTGTATGTGCACGTGTGCGTGTTCTAATGCAGTAAACTATAATCTACTTGAAATTGAGATTATTGACTTTATACTTACCTTATTGGAATCCAGACCTTTTATATGGATAGTATGTTTGAAGAATATGACAAATGGAAAACTGTTTCATTGAAACTAGATTATGCATTTCACCCTTACTAGGCTTCATCAGATCATAAACAAAAGTAAGAAATATGTGTGTGTATCCTTAAATAATAAATCGTTAGTACCCGCTTCCATTAAGCTGGCATTTCTCAGAATGAAATTGTACGACTTTTGTAAAAAAAAGGCGTTAATTTTTATTCTCTGCTGTTTTTTTTTTTTTTTTTTACAATTTTCTTGTTCTTGTTGAAATTTATTTATATATGCTCCCAGCGTTTCTGCATTAAAATTAAGATGAATTCTCATCCTATTTCTTTCTTTCATTTCTGACAAAGCCTAATAAATTTCAATCAAATGCTTTTGATTTATAATATTCTTCAAACTTTGCCTGGATTCTGTATCCTGTCTTATACACATGCAGCTATGTATAATTTTATTTTAGTAATTTATTAATTTAAAAAAAAATGAAAAATCATCTTTGCTTTAACCCACAAGTTGTTGCCTAATTGCATTTTCTCAAAAATATCAGTATAGGAAAGATTAAAAAAAAATAGTTTTATTTTAAGTTCTTAAGTAATATTAAAAATATTGAATTTCTCAAGAAAGTAATTCCATGCATTGGCTATATAGAGATTCTGGGATATTATGAGGCATGTATAATTTAATAATTTTAAGCAAACTTGGAACTTTGTGCCCGCAAAAAAATGACCTATCAAAAGGAAAGTTTTTCCAATAATGCCACTATCATTATTTTAACTCTCTTCACTCTTTGGCAATTTTTATTGTTTTAAAAAACGATGATTAGAATTTTAATAAAACCTGAATATACGATGAAACTAAATTTATACATTTTTTTTTTTTGTTCTTGAGAATTTACAACAAAAATATTCATATATTAGATTGTTTATTTACAAGAATAATTTTATATTTACAACATTCTAAAAACTAATATCACAATATTTATCATTTACCAATTTATAAAGAAATCTGAAAACAATGTTTTTATTCATAAATTTATAAACATTTACTAAATTATTAAAATATGTGAACCAACTATAAGGAAATCCTTATTTATCATTTTATAAACTTTGAATTGATTGTTAATTAACTGATGTTTTGACAACTATTCGAATAAACTATAATAAATAATGTAAATAAACAATCTAATAAATAGTGTTTATTATTTTTGTTGTCAATTCTCAAAAACAAAAAAAATGTATAAATTCACTTTTATCGGATGTTTAGGTTTTATTACAATTCTAATCATTGCTTTTTAAATTAATAAACATTGCCAAGGAGTGAAGATAGTTAAAAAAATGTGATGTCAATGGAAAAACTGTCCTTTTGACAGTCTGTTTTTTGGTGGACACTAAGGTTAAAGTTTGCTTAATTTTATTTTGAAGTAGATTATATTTGTTATGTTAGTCAACTCCTGTTATTGTTAATTTAATGACATTTCATTGTTTTTTTTTGTTGATTCTTAAAGGATGTCATTCCATAAATTCATCTCATTGAAGAAAATTTAAAAAATAAAATAGATTTATCAAGTTTATTATCTTTATTATTATTTTCACATATGAAATATATGAGGTCTGTCTATCAAAAACTGGTTATGGGATCTTGATGTAAGAGGGCTACCAATTAGAGGGAACTTTAATGTGTTTGTGAACACTCTTTCATGAGGTTTCTCAGTTGACAATGAAACACCATTGAGTGTATTTAATGTGTGATCGTTACAGTCATAGTAACTTTATGAGAAGATTCATAATGACTTGTGCAGTTTTTTTTTTATTTATTTATTTACTTATTTATTTTGCAAAACCTGCATTACCTGCATGTTGGAGTAGAAGAGGTGGTTACATTTAACTGTTTTGACAGTAAAAGGCTGGGACTGAGATGCCAACCTAGTCATGCTTAATTTCATGCAGTTGGGGCACCAGTGAAAATAGCTTGTCAGTGCAGATGCCATGAAGATATTTGTAGAAAAGATAGAAGGAGGCCGCATCATGTTTGTGAGAAAGTGACTGGAGTCAAGATGCCAGGTCAGGACCTATCACATTGCATATCTGTCTTTGGATTTTGTCAAGAACCTCGAGATGTACAGGTGGGAGCACCAGACCATATATGGCAACAGTATTCAATGCAAGGACGAATGGTAGATTTGTAGGGTGGACTCAGACAACTAAAACCTTCTGGTGCAACACAGAGTACCAATTTTCCTTGTGGTAATTTGACTAAGGCACCATTGCTCTAGATTGCTAATTTTTCCATTAATATTAAATGGCTGGATGCTTATTAGACTGACGATGATGTTTTGATGTTTTTTGGGGGTTTTTTTAGGAGTTACCTTCATTCTTTTAAGTAAAGAATGAAGGTAACTCCTAAAAAAATAAACATCAATATTTGATTAACAAATAATGAATATAAAATGGGGGATCAGTTTGGTATTACAACATAATTAAAAATTGATCCCATTCTTTATGTCCATAACTGGTTTCTATCATTATTTACACTATTTATTGTTCTCATCTTTATTGTGGTTATTACCAAGGATTGAACTCCTAGCCTAGTGGATTGAAGTGGATCCCAGAAATTCAGACAGAAAGCTTACTATCATTCTATGTAAGACAATGATTTTGATAAACAGTGGGTGGGGAGTAATTGCAATCTGAATTTCTGGAATGAGAAGTTTTATTAGTGATGTAATGGAATAACCTGTCACCCCCATGAGTGACTAAACTATAGGTAGTAACTACCTATAAGTATCTGTAAGTCAACGGACTACAGAGTCTAGCTGGGATCTGTTGAGTATGACTCAAACTTATGCAAGAACTACCAAACTTCCAATAGTAGCACTCAATACTTGCGACGACCTTGTGCATAGCTGTTACCTTTATTCTTATTGTACTGGTTTTTACAAGAAACCTTTACTTATTTTATCCACCTTGTTTTTCAAGTATATACTCCTATTAGCACAGAATATAACAATTAGTTACATTCAGACTATTGTCCTCATGTTCGTTGTTGTTATAACAATGTTTCATTTAGTGTACTCTCTGACTTTCATCAGGTATATATCAATCTTGTTACTGTAATAGAAGTGACAGTGACTTACCAGGAGCAAAGCGAATTCGCTGCCTTGCGTGTCGAACCATTCTCTGAGAGTCAGTTGTGCGTGCGTACGCCTACTGCCATTTTTATGCAGCAGACTTATTTGCATAAGAGAACAACACTACCCATTAAAAACCAGGCGAGTGGACGTGGGAGGACACTGCTCTTCTAGGCTTCGGTGAGACTAGACGTAGTGCTGACAGAAAGCGACAGCAATTTCTGGACATCTGACAGCAACCTACATAGAATTCTGAACAGAACCCTTTATTTAATCTATAGGATAGACTGTTCTTGTTCCACTGTCCATTGCTAGGGATATCTCATCTAGTTCTTATTTAGTATCGATCAGTTATTGCTTGCCTGTTTTCACTGAGTTCAAGTACAAACTACCTGACCCAAAGATTGAACTCACAATTATTATGTCAACAAATTCAGGAATCAACACTTTAAGCTACTAGACGACGAGAAAATAGCCTTGTAATTTGTAAGTAATTGTGAGTTCAGTCTCTGGACCGAGCAGTGTGTACTTAAGCTCAGAGGAAATAGGTAAGCAATACTAAAAATAAGAACCAGACATGATATCCTTAGATGTGGACAGTGGAATGAGAACAGTCTACACCTGTAGATTTAATAAAGGGTTTAGTTCAGAATTCCTTGTAGGTTACCCAGATCGATATATGCACCTGATGAAGGCCAGAGTGAACAATAACCGAAATGTGATAATAATAGATGAGGACAACAGTTCAAATATAAATAGTGTAAATAAAGGTTTGGTGGGTGGGGGTATGCTGCAAAATATGGTAATTAAAAACAAAGAAAAAAGGACCTAATCCATTACCATATTCCTTAGATTTCTTCGAGAGAATTTAGGTGTGTGTTGTCAAATACAAAAATGGTTATTTAAAGAACACAAAGAAAATATTTTCTGAAGAATATGAAAATATTGGCTCTTCAATAAAATAATTCTTTGTAGAAAGTGTAGAGAGTTTGGAATAGCAGAAGGTATCTAAAAACTATAATTTAACATTAGAATAGCAAATGATTTGAATCTAGTCAGCTGCATCCAAAATTCAAAGAATCTGCAATGTTATTGGTCCCGACCTGCCATCTTGTCTTCAGTCACTTTCCTACTGCTTGTAATGTAGCTTCCCTGTGCCTTTTCTATAAATATGTTTATGGTAATTCTCTTGATGAACTTTCCTCTATGGTATCTAGACTTTATGAATTTCAGTGCAACCACTACTCTTAGGAGGAAGGATCTCTCTAAAATTGGGTATGCAATTAATTTTCTGGAGTCAAACAACAAAGGACTCTTTGTAGGGGTTAGGAGAAGCACAGAAACCTCAAGTTCCATTGGATTCCATGCTGGTTTTAGGCGAAGGTCCATATAAGCAGAAGATCAAAGCAACCAAGACAATAGATGCTCAAGTTACCATTGGAAATAAGAGACAACTGCTTTGCCTAATCTCATGCTACCTGAAGAAAACCTCTGACTTATGCCAAGTTCCAGAAGCTTTGTATCAAACTTAGTCACATCAAGAAAAGCAACATGTTAATATATGAATCGGGAAAGGTCGATAATTCTAAACGAGGAGTTTATTTTCTACATGAAGCATATATACTCCTGCCTGAAGAATTGATAATTGTAATACCAGTTTTTTACAAAGAACATTATATAAAAACATTTTTTTTTTCAAATTATTTTTTTTACTTGTGACTTCACTCTACTCTGATCAAACCAATACAATGATTCCTGTCAACAATCCTTGCCAGCCTTGTGATCAAAATCAAACAAAATGTGGAACAAGGCAAGGCTTGGATCAGTGATCAACTCAACAATCTGCCGTGGGGATTGGACATTGGATGGACCGTCAGAGAAGGCTACATGAGGACTGGAAAGAAAATCATGAAGACCTGTGCTTGGTACATCCTGACGAAGATAATAATTTCTCAGAGTATCTTTGTAAGTATGATTTTTTTTTGTTATCAATCATGTGTTTATTATAGAAAAAAATCCAAATTAAACATAGATTTATTTAATTTTTATTCATTTATTTTTGCCTTTGAAAATGTCATGGGTTACCCCCACTTGATTTGCTCAGATGCCGTTATGTGGTAATGTTAAACAACTATAAAAACAGGACACTTCCTGTTTCTTACGCTTTTTCTCTTTTCCTTCTAGCATGCAATAGAAGTTAACACCAGTATGGAACTTGCTCCCAGTTATTTGATAATAGCTTTCCCTGAGTGACTGAACACTTTCACATCCACAATTCCTAATTGCTAGATTTTAATGTCTTCTTTCTTTTCAGTTATTTTACAAGCATAGACGTATATTTTATTTCTTGTTAATCCTTTGTTAGCCATTTAGAAAACACATGAAAATATTGTCTTGTTGAAATTTATTCCATTTCCTTTCACCTTTACTAACAATGATGACTTGTCATTTATATGTGTAAATTTTGTTTGCCACTGCTTTTTGTCCAACTAGAAGCACATTTCACTGTAAAAGTGATCACCATGCTGGGTAAATCTATCCCAGGCAAACAGAGAAACAGTCATTTTATAATAATAGATTTAAATATGTTCAAACTTTATTAATTGAAACAGATGTACCATTTTATTTATCAAACTGTGTACTATGTCTGTTGGCATGTATATTTGAGAAATTTTATTAAAGAAAATTTGTTCTCTGGGAGGGACTGAATCTGCATCTCCCTTTGTAGTGGGGAAACCACATTTTAATCCAGTGTGCCTTACTGCTCAGCAATGAAGAACATCACAGTACACAATCTTCTGTTTTCTCTTTTTAATAAAAGCACATCCTCTTCACTGAATTTGGCCACTTCAAAATAGTGTAAGCAAACTTGTCTAAATAAATTATGATTGAGTAGTGAGTTTGCTCTTCACTTTTGGCCAGTTCCTTTTTTTGAAATGACATATGAAGTGGATTTATTTTTGAAGTTACTTTCTTCTTGCCTTTACTCAAAGAGGAAGGACTGACAAAGCATCAGGTTGTTTGAATTCAGAGTTTTCCTTCTCCTAGAATGGTTGCCAACCTATCGAGTCAAATCTGTCCTGCTATTTACCCATAGCTGGTCAGAGAGAAGAGATGGATTCATACCTTTTCCAAGAGTATTTATGCGTAAGTGAATGCAAGGAATTTGACTGTAATTTGAACATGACTCTCAGATTACTCAATCCAAACTGCTATCCATGACTCCACCGTGCTTCCATATTTATCCAGAACTGGGGGCATGGAAGAGATGGATTTATATACTTACCCAAGGGTATTTGCCTCTGCGAAGAGATACATATGTCAGCTGTGAAACTGAGTTAAGTTTTTCTTGGTTAAATTCTTTTCATGTAAAATCAACTAGTTTCTTGAATTTTCTTCACTGTGTCTGTAGACAATGCTGATAAAAATTGCCAAGTTGGGTTTACTGTTTAACAAGCATAGTGAGGAAAGCAGTAGCTATTTTTCTTTTGCCAAAAACGCCTGTATTCTCATCAGTTTCTTGCATAAAAAAAAAAAAAAACTAACAACCGAATTTAATTCTTTTAAACAACAATGACAAAATTAATATCGCTACTGCTTTTCCTAAGTATGTCCGGTAAACGGTAGTTGAGCCAGTGCAAATAATTCTCTGTGTTTTAAAATAGTGTTCATTCTGCATTTCAGATGCCTGGCCTTAAATTTGTTTCATAATAGGTAAGGGGAAAAAACTCTGATTTTTAATGCTCAATCATCAAGCCGTGTCAATAATCTATTTAGTAGTTTGTTTGTTTTTTAAGACACCGGCACGAATTAACTTTCAATAATAATAAATTTGATGGGGAAAAAAAATTGGAACTTTTTTCCCCTCTCAAAGGAAAAAGCTAATTATTAATAAGGTTAGAAAAGAACCATAAGTTTGTGTGTTAAAAACCTGGTATTTAATCTAAAGATAGAATTTCCCGGTACATATTTACATAGGGAATTTTTTTGCTCGTCACCTGCCAATTCAAAATATTGTCAATTGTTCGAGATGAAAGTAAAAATGGGTTTGTCGTGTTTAGAAGTGAAATTAAGCAATTTGCGAGATTCCTTCAAAAATGTAAGTTTTTATATCCTGCATTATATATACATATATAAGAAATAAAAGTTTTATCGAAATATTTATATACGATGAGCCGAATTTATAATCAAAATTGCTGCTGCTTTATTTTCTTTAACTAAAAGCGTGTGTAAAATAAATTCGTAAAAAAAAAAAAAAATAAGGAAGTACTCTAAAAGTAAAACAGATAAACATTTATTTTTCAATTAATTGTAGCAACTATAAATATTTTAACCGTAACGCTTTTTAGTTTTTAAAATAGAATATAGATTGTTTATTTGTTCGTGGTCGGGGGAAAAAAAACGAATTTTTTATCCTTTTTTTAAACTTCTATCTATAATTTAATTATTTATTCTTTAAAAAAAATTGACTTAAATTTTTAGAGCTAAAATTGCTGCAATTTATTTTCTTTTGCTTTGTAAAGGACGTTACTTTTGTTTTTAATTTCGTCCAGAAAATGCGATAGAAAATCTAGGTGTTAGTTATGTCCACTCCAAAAGAATTTTTAAAAAATTTTATAGAAAATAAATATTTTTAAATTATTTTTATAAAGTTATTTAAAAGGAAAAACAATATTTTATAAAAAAATTTCTATTTTTTTTTTGTTTTATGAGATAAACATTTAATTTCTTTGATGGCCTGAGGACAAAATGTTGATTATTATTTCAATTTTTGTAATAATAATGTACAGAACTCCGATCTGTGAATGTTACTTGTCGAATTTTGATTTTTTTTTTTTATTTGATAAATCTTGAATGTTTTGAATTAGAAAAAGAATATATTTGAAAAATTTTACCTTTTTTTGTTTTTCAAAATAATCACCTTTTTTTAATTAGTGGATAGATTTTCTTAATTCTTAACTTAATATAAGCTTTTTTTTTATTTTTGACTCAGAGACTGTTTGGTTTGACTGACCAGAGGGCAGAACGGCCGAAATGTTGTGATAACAACAAAGATGAGGATAATAAATATTAGTGTTAAAATAATGTAAATGATATTTATTAGGCTTGTGTCTAAAATTGCTTTTAAAAAAAAAACAAAACTATTTTTTATCTGCGGAATAACAAAAAAAAAAAAAAATGTCTTATCGGCCATATTTTTTTTAACTTTTAGTTTTAGTTTTTACTTGTTGCTTTTTCTTCTCGTCTGTTAATTGTGCAATTTAAATTATAAATAACATACTCATTTTTTAAATTATTTTTCTACAAAGATTTCCAATAAAAATTAATTTCCTGATCTTTTGCATTTTAAAAAATCTCCATTTTTTTTTTCCAAGGCAATATAAAATCTCAACGAGGCGACAATCATATTGTCTTGTAAAAAAAAAAAAAAAGTGTCGTCTGCTCAGTGAAAGACGGAATCACGTGACCAGAGAAAAGAATTTGTCTTCCAAGAAGATGGCAATGATTTCGAATTCATTCAGCAAGTTGTTTCTGGCCATTGAGGTCTGGAAACGTAAATACATGAACACTAACAGAAAATTGGTTTCTGATGAACTGTCTGTCAAGCAGCACCTCCCCACTATACTCAAAATAAAAGGGTAACTTAAAACGGTACGCCCCTGATGTCTGCAGCAAAATCGGTAGAACTAGGAAATTTCTGTAAACATTCATTTATGCGAAACTGTGTTGTTCCCAACATAAAAAAAATCTTTGTATTGTATTTGGCTCTGATGGGTGGCAATTTTACAAATTCATTCATAATTCAAGAAATGAAGAACCTGTGTTTACAATACATTATTCTGTGGTAATAAATATAAAACAAGTTTAGTGAATTACTAACTTATTTAACATGGCCCCGTGTTGAACAAAAATTGAAAATAATGATTGACACAGAATAATTCAGCAAATCAAAGTTTATCCTTCTCTCCAATGACATCTTGTTTTTAGATTCCAACTTTTGAACAGGATCCTAAAAATGGCTTAAATAAATATTCGTTAAGTAGGTGACTAAAATAGTTAAATATAAATAAAACTGTAAGAATGGCATTATTTTTGCACAAAACCTTTTAGTGTTAATTTTAACGCCCTAAACAATTTCTTCATACCAAACACTGAATTATCTCCCTTACACGTCCCTTTTTATTTTTTTACCTAGTTTCATATTCAAAAATTTGGAAAAGTGTCATGGTAAATGTTGTGTCGGAAACCTACCACCCCTCTTGAAGATGAACTTGTCTGCGAACAAAGACTTTAAATAGTGGCATGTCAGTTGACATGGGGGAGACAGATAGACAGAGAAGTTCTTAGCTGAGCTAGTTATTGACTACTCAGGCGATTTCTGTACCTTTTGCCAACCTATTAAAACCCTTTTTATTGTTACGTGTTATTTGGCGTTTGTCTCTACTAACCCCAAATCAACATCATAACAGTGGCGACAAGAGATTCGTTCATCACGCTGAGTGGAAAATTTTTCAACTCTAGGTGGACTATATAAATTTTTTTTCTCGCTCTGAAAAAAAAAACAAAATACGTCGAACTTTGTTCTTCATGAAGAAATGCGATTTCAACGTGCTAAAAAGAAGTAAGACTTGTGCTTATTGTGGATATATACGTGTTTTTCCCTTTTTGTCTGTTTTCGAAAAGTGTTTTGTGTAATCTATTACACATGATGGAAGATTTGATTGCATTAACGAAAACTCTAGTGCAAAACCAAATTCAGCAACAAGAGCAACAAATATTGTTTTGGGAACAACTATTGGATTTACAAGTTCAGCAGCGAAATGACACAAAGGCTTTATATGAAGCGATTTTACTTAAGAATCCAGTAAATTCGTCATTCACGGCCAAGGTATTGCTAATTCTATTACTGAGTTCAAATTTAACCCAGAGGAGGGCATAACATTTCCTGCGTATTTCAAGAGATTTGAAACAATATTTGAAAAAAAAAAAAAAGGTTGGATTGATGAACAAAAAGTGAGTTTACTTTTACAAAAGTTGGGTACAGATGAAAATAATAAGTATACGAATTTTGTCCTTCCAAGAAAAACTGGTGACATTTCTTTCAAGAAACTGTTAATACTTTATCTAGTATTTTTGGCGAGCGAGTTAGTTTGTTTCATACTTGTTTCTCGTGTTTGAATATGGCAAAGCGTGACGATGAGGATGTTGTTACGTATGCTGGAAATGTTAACAGAATGTGCGAACGTTTTATGTTACATGATCTTTCAATTGATCGATTTAAATGTTTGATATTCGTTCAAGTCTTGACTTTTAGCAAAGATAAGGACATAAGGTCCTGAATATTGGCAAAACTCAAACAAAATTCCGAGATCACTTTGCAGAAGGTTACGGAAGAGTGTCAAAGAATTGAAAACTTAAAACATGACAATACGCAAATTGAAGAAAAAGACGTATCCTGTGTCTATGCTATTCGACCAAAAACGGGAATAGTTAATAAAAACGTTAAAAAACCAACGTGCTTTGGATGCGGTGGTGGTCATTTTAAAAGTGAATGTTTTTTTTTTTTTTGCAACAAAAATTGCTATTCGTGTGGCAATAAAGGCCATATAAGTACTCATTGTAAAAGCAAAAGAAAAAAATTTAAGTCGAAAAAAGATAATGTGAATATTGTGTTGTCACGTCAGGAGATTGAGGAGGAGCAGAAAAGAAAATTCGTACAGGTAAAAATTAATGGAAAAAATGTTAAACTACAGCTAGATACTGGAAGTGATATTTCCATTATTAATACAGCAACCTGGATTAAAATAGGCAGACCTTTGCTTAAAAAAGACTGAAAAAGTGGCTCACGGATTTCTGGAAGAAAATTGCATTTTCAAGGTGAATTTTCTTGTAATATTTCATTTGTAGGTAAGACACTAAAGTCTAAAGTGTATATGTGCTACAAAATGCTTCAAATTTGTTTGGAACAGATTGGATTATACTTTTTTAATTTATGGGAACTCCTATAAATTCTTTTTGCAATAGAATTAATGTTTCTTCCATGTAAAAAATCGGGTTACAGAAAATTTGGTGAAAGATCTGAAAATAAAATTTCCACAAGTATTTTCAGGTCTTGGATGTTGCAAAAAAAGACGAAGGCAAAATTTGAAGTGAAGGAAAATGTAAAACCTATTTTCAAGCGAAAAAAAGAAATGTGCCATTTGGTGTTTTGGAACAGATTAACAAAGAATTGGAACGGCTTGAAAATTTAGGAGTTATTTCACGCATTGAATTTTCAGAGTGGGCCTGCCCTGTTGTATATGTTAAGAAAAAGAATAATAAAATTCGGATGTGTGCCGATTTCTCTACGGGTCTAAATGATTGCTTAAAAGACCACACATATCCTTTGCCTTCACCAGAAGACATTTTTGCAAGTTTAAATGGAGGAAAAATATTCTCTAAATTGGATTTATTGGATGCCTATCTCCAAGTGAAAGTGGACAAAGAATGTTCTAAATTGTTGACTATCAATACACACAAGGGTTTATACAAATTAAACCGTCTGCCTTTTGGTTTAAAAGTATCCCCTAGTATTTTTCAGCAAATTATGGACACTGTGCTGGCAGGGTTGGATTTCGCCATTGCATATCTTGATGATATTTTGATAAAAAGTAAAGATCGAAATGAACATTTGGAACATATTAATCAGGTTTTTGAAAAAATTGAAGAATATGGATTCAAACTTGCAGCTGAAAATGTAAATTTTTTATGAGTGAAATTAAGTTTTTGGGGCAGATAATAGACTCTGATGGAAGAAGACCAGATCCGCGAGGGCAGAAGCGATCAAAAGCATGCCAACTCCCAAAATGTAGTAACGCTACAAGCGTTCTTAGGACTTGCTAACTATTATGGGATATATATTCCTAATTAGTGCAGCCTTTACGGCTCCATTAAATAAATTGCTTAAAAAGGAAGCAAAGTGGGAATGGTCAGAAGTGTGTCAGAAGGCGTTTGACAAAATAAAGAATATTTTGACGTCGGAATTATCACTAACACATTATGACCCTAAACAGGAAATTATAGTGGCATCGGACGCAAGGGGCAATGGAATAGGTGCGT